GAGAGACTTCTCAAGTCACTGATTTTCTCCTTAAAAATTAGGAAACCACAATGTCCAGTAATATCATTTTTTGTCCAGTCAATGCTAACTCTGAATGTATTTCAGAATGTTCTACTGCACTCACAGGATCACTTGTTACCAATGAAGAACAACAAGTATATTTCCCCACAGACAAAAGTCAATTTAACAAGCTACATCATCTTTCCAGTCAGCATTTCTCCCTCAATGCTTTTATACAAAAGGACCCATTTTTAGGCTCTTTAATTCAGTTATTCCTACAGCTTTAAAACCTACCTATATGAAATCACAGTCCAGATGGAGACTTTTCATTGTATTTTCTAAAATTGTTACATTATACGAGATCTATTTCACCATATTCTGTCATTTTAACATTTCAGAAATTGCACATCTATTAAACTAGTTGATTTTGTTTTCTATTTTAATGTTTATGGAAAATTGCTTTTCAGAAAATAAATACTTAGAAAAATAGTTTTTGTAAGACTCATGAAATCATCACAAAGCTTGGAAAAAATGGAACCAGTTGGTTTTCAGCAGCTTAAAATTTGAGCTTTCAGGGTTCTAAACAGCATGCTAGCAGAGTATTTTCTTACGCTCACATTTATTCATTTATTTGTTGTAGATTCTATATTCCTCACCTTATTCTTTGGTTTGCCACCTTCTTTATTTACATAAAAGGTTCAGAGAAGTTATTAGCTTACTAGACCATGTGTAAGCTGGTTAGCAACACCTTCAGTTTGTAGGAGCGAACTGCAAAGCTCAGTCACATCTCATAGGAAAATGCTCAGGAAAGTTCAAAGGACATGTTTAATCATTCAGAAGCCTACATACAGTATTTCTATATGTGCCTGACACAGTGAATGAAAAAAGTCACTTTAGTATCGCTCCAATTACAATTACATCAGCATTCAACATGGGTTTTTGTGAAGTATCAATCCAGCATTTAATGGTTCTCTGGATACTGGGTCTACAAACACTGAGAATTGATTTTCCCCTAACGTCTAATTTTAAAATACAGGGCAAAAATTGCATCTGTCTCTACATCAGTCCCACAAAAAAAACCAAACAGCCCACAGAAACTACTTTCGGTATTTCAGAAAAGCTACGTGCCTCTGTACAGAGCAAGGCAATCTCCAGATCTAGCATTACTTCTAATGTTGCATTTACTTTAGGGAATTACGGCTGCACTGTTAATGCGTTACGGTTAACATTAACATCTTAGGCAAGCAACAAACACCTTTTGCCGATATCAGGCAAAACCCCTATGTATTTTTCAGGGTTCTAAGAAATATTATATGCCTTCTAGAGTGACACTGAAGTTGGAACAGTTCTATAGCCACATTTTATTTTGCTGTAAAATTCAGGAAATTTTTTTAAACATCCTAGATGATCCCTTCCAAATCTTCATGTCCTTAAGCAGATAATTCCAGCAACCACAGTGACAAGGTACATCTCATGTATTTCCTAGAAAGTTAATCTTTTGTTTTAAAACTACACTGAACTCTACCCATAAACATCTATTAAAGTTGTCGATCTATCAACAGTTTCAGTTTTTCTCGTAAAGGAAAAAAAAAGACATCTTGTCTATGACACAATCATCAGATTATTTTAAAAGAGCATAAACACTAATTGGCAGTGCAATTAAATTATTAATTTGGTCTAACAGCATTGTTCTACATTCAAATTTATGAAGGCTTCCATGACTTTAAGGCATAAGAAATTAGTAGTTTAAATGGGAACATTTACCCAATATGGGCTACAGAACGACTGTATTTCTGAGTTTCAGCTGAGTACACTGAAAATAGAACTTCTGTAGTATCTAATGAATTGAGTACCACAAAATCTCACTGAAGTTGATAAAATTCATCCTTCTTGATTTCCAAATTTGCATTAGATAGTCCTAGCAACTAGCTGCTTAAAACACTACAGAAATAATCATGCCACTTGAAACTCAAAGTTAAAATCCAAAGAGACACAGTTGTTATCTAATGCAGATAAATGAAAATACAAGCTAATATAAAATTGCTTATAAATAAGGAGAGTTAATATACAATATCTCTGAATTCCAATTCAAATTGTTTTTTGTGGCAATTCCATTCTATGCCATCACAGTATTATAAAAATCTGATTCAATTTTCCTCTTTACTCCAGTAATAGTAGGATGCTCAGAAATAAGACAAAACTAGCTTTAAAATAAGATAAAAATACTCAATTACTTGTTTCCATATTCCCCTGAATTTTAAACTGCCCAGGTGACTGACTTAACAACTCTCTAGGAACATTCCAATTTTCAAATATTTTGGATAATTGTCACCTACAATTTTTATAATTTCCACAAAAGAACTGTGGGATTTTTTTTGTGTGTGATGCAGGGGACAGTAATACAGAGTTATTAGAATAGGCCACTATTTATAAACTGAATCTGTAAGGTTGAAAAATTTTCAGGATGAAAATATTTTTCTAAGTCTATGGCGTTGCCTAATGTCCTACTGAAGTACAGTACATCATGCAGTCTGGTCAGACCATCCAAAACTCTGAGGTTCCATTCTGAGGGCTGTATCTTCCCAGGGGAAAGCAGGATAAATGTGTCTGAACAGAGCATTATTATTTCCATTTTAGCTGTTTATTTTTTCAAGACATCTGAAAGGTCAATTAAGTGGTTAGGGGAAGGCTGTGGGTAGTAGTAGCATGGTAAATATGTAGCAATCTATCCTTCTGTGTATTAAATTATTTTGTATTTTAGCTTTTGTACTGCATTTGGAGAGTTGACTCTTTACAAAATTGTCGTTAGTTTTGGCATGTGTGATATTTAAGTAAACACAGATTACGGGAATTAGCAAGAAACTTCTTGTAAACAAAGACTGACCTCTCAAAAGTTCAAATGATACCTAACTAAACATGACTAATCCTCAGAGATTACACTACGTACTTTTTATTTTCAGTTCATGTGCTGCGGAGTGTTTAAAATCACACTTCTGTTCTCCACGCATTTGTAACAAATTTGCTGAGATCTGTGTTGTCTTAAGTAGACCTTTTTCTAAAAAAAAAAAAAAAAGTAATACTAAATATCTTCTCCATCAAACTAGTTTTGTTGCCACTGCTTACTTAAATCCACTAGGAAATGACAGCCTTGTTGGAATTACAGAAAACTAAAATTAATAAAGGTGCTGAATTAGGCCCTATCTTTTAATTAGGTGTTGTTTGATCTTCTTGTTAGTCCAAATATTAACATAAAAGAGCAAAACAGCCCAAAGTTTATGTGTTACGTTGTACATAGTTATGTCAGGAAATAAGAGAAAGCAGAATAAGAACATGTGATACTTGTGTTGGTACATGCAGCATCTATGCATCTTTTAAAAATAATGCTTAATATTTAGTAACATGAGGAAAATAAAAAGTTCTAGAGTTCTTCCATTTTAGTCATCACATCAGTTGATGGAAGCATAAATGGTAAAACTAACCCTTTTGCCTATACAAACACCAGGCAATTTCATAGGCACCACCAACAGGGAAAATGCATTTCTACCTTTGCCAGGGTCAGCCATTATATTTCAGCACAAACCTACCTACAGACATTTAATACAACTAGCGAGTGCTGTAGTGGTCGGGTTATGTGGGACAGCCACGTCACTGTCTCTCTCTAATTACTGCTTCGCTGACCCTTGAGGCTTCACCTCCTGAAAGTTAAATGGACCAGGGTGATCTGGAATAGTAACAACCAAGAAATTGAAATCTACCATAGTTTGCTTTTTAAGATTCCATATAATTTATAGGAATAATATTAAAATAGGCATACTAGGAATATGTATATTCCTGCAATATACTCTCTGTTCTTCCAAATTAACACTGGAAATGGAGCTAGCTGAAAAGCATCCATGGCTGGTATTAATAGAAAGTGTTATTCATTGACATACTTCCAAATAGTCCCTCTGTTAATATTTTCAAAGCCAAAAATATAACTAGCATAAAAAAAAAAAAAAGTTAAATGAAAAGCTGGGAACATAGTGACATTATAGAAGATCTAAGTTACAACTCCAGTGAAAAAATGTGGGACAAATGGGGTAGGAATATAGAAGTATCAGTTCTGACTGAAGGCTGAAACTTATGCAAACAACAGCAAAAAACCATTTTAGAATATTTTGAGATGTGTGAAAACTACAAATGCTAGAACTGTGAAAAGGAAACTGGGAATCGGATACATATGTTATGGAAATGGCACTGCCCACTGCTAAATTATTTTTGGAGATCAGAATAGAGAACAGGAGAACAACTGCTAAAGCTGTTATAAACACAGGGTCCCCCTGGCAAAGCAAAAATCTTGCCATGGTTGATATTAATGACTACTACCATCTGGATGCATTTATAAAGAAATCATCTTTGGTATATTCTAGAATACTTACTAAGAAATACAGTAGTGTTTATCAGTTACTTCTCTGATTGTCATTCCCCTAACTCCACGGAAAACAGAACCACTAATTTAGGATGGTTTATGCACTGAAAATTTTTCCTCATATAGCTTAAAAGCTCAATTAATCTAAAACAATTCTGCTGGCAGCTTTACGGAAAATATTATGTACAGTTTTTTGGTCACACCAAGCAAACTCTCTAAAAAAAGATTTAAAAAAAATCTGAATGGTTGCAGCTATATGCCATCTGTTTTGTTCTGGTTCAGAAGAAATTGCATCAATCCATGGTGTTCTACATACCACCTCAACTCACAACAACCACTAAGCAAAACCTAGCAACATAGTTGTGACTGTCTTACTGAAATAATGAAAAAAAAATGATTTTTTAAAATCATAAGTCGTGTTTGAAAATTACACTAATAACACTTGTGGTTTAATACTGATGCCTTCTTTGAAAGAAATGCTAACTGAAAAATGCATTCTAGAATTCTCTGCACACATAACAATCATCAGACTAGAATTGACCCTAAGTACAGTTTTTATTCTTTATGTCTTTATTCATTCTTTTCTACATAGTATTTGTGGAATTCAGCATCTGGAACGAGCAGGAAACAAGTTGACTCTCTTTGACTCCCTTTATTTCTGCATAGTGACATTTTCCACTGTGGGCTTTGGGGATGTTACACCCAAGATATGGCCTTCAAAGCTGCTTGTTGTCATTATGATCTGTGTTGCTCTTGTGGTGTTGCCCATACAGGTAAATGTGGATTATTTTTCTCTTTAGAACTATTTAAAAATGAAATAATAATTGAAATAATTGACTGTTATTGTTGTTATGGCATATATATGTTGAAAGGGATTACATTTTATTATTTAAGCAGAATTTTTTTATGTTTTTTTCCCCCCTTTCCCTCTGTCTGTACCATAGTAGCTTAGAATTACACTTAAAAAAAAAAAAAAAAAGAGCACAGGCAATAGTTTTAAAGTGCTGATGAAAGGTACCGGTTTCTATCATGTACTACAGAGCCTTTCTCTTTGTCCTAAGATTTAGTTTTGTTATTGACTGATTTCAAAACAAACAGTAGCCATCACTTTCTGTATGAGTGTAGCATTTCCTCCCCAAGCTGTCCCTGTTTCTAATCTTGGTTCTCTCTGCTTCCTCTTTTGTTCTTACAGTCCAATGTTAGCTTGAAAAGCTCTTATTAAATTTGCAACTCAAGCAGATCGTCTTCACAGATGTGTGTGCCGCTACATACACACACAGCTGACAATGCAGGAACCTGTAACTACTACATAGGTTTGAAACTTCTAACAGATTCAAGGGGAAAAGGCGGGTTTGTCCAAATCCTAACTATTTCATGGAATCAGGATCAGTTTCACTACACTTGCAGCAAACATCTGTCTCATTTTTGGCTAACAGAAATCCTGGGGCAGCCCTGCCAAGACGTTCACTGTCCTCTGCTCAACGATCACACATGACCCAGACCTCCTGCCAAAAAGAGGAGCTGTGGGAGGTAGATGTGTGCATTATTGCACACAGCTATTCCAGCAGTCCTGCTGGAGTGTAGAGCTCCAACGTGGCTCACATGGCAGTGGTTTCCGAACTCTGCCTCTTTGACAGTGACCTGAAGTTCTCTGTGAGTGCAGAACAGAAAGCCTTGAAATTATTTGAACATTCTAATTATATCTGAATATTTAACATTTGTGTACACGAACATATACACAATTATATACCCACTCAGTGAAGTGGAAATTTGGTAAAATATATATTCCGGTGAAAACTAAAATGTGTTTTAAGAAATTTGAAAATTCCTTAACCTTCCCAAGAAATAGGAATTTCAACTTTCAAGTAAATCTAATTCACACTTCAGGCACCTGATCCTATGGTGATCAAAGATCTCTGCAATACCAGTTAACGACCTGCGATTTACTGCCTTTCTACGCCAATTAACTAGGATTAGCTATTTTATAGTCTTGTACCAATAAAGGGGCTTCATATAGTGCTCCACATAGAATGTGGGAGGCAGTCTCTCCTGCGCTTTTGTCCTGCTAAGATATGAAACCAGTTATTAGTCATGATTCAGTCTCTCTATCATTCGAATCGGGATGAGGAAAACAGCTATCACACAGACATAGTTATAGTGAGCTCAGTATTAACTGTATACAACTTCCAAGGAACTTTGAAATGATATTTACATGTTTTATTATTAGTACAGATTGTTTAAATATTCTCCTTTGCCTGAAGAGCTCAGTCTACTAAAGCAGTGCTCTTACATGCTTAGCAATTCTGATTCATATTTCCCAACATACTGCACAGTAGATTTCCCAGTCGTAAGAGCACTAGGCAGATTGCACTGTGCACCTGCATATGCTGTTCAGCTGGCAAAGATAAAATAGCTCTATTAAGAGCTGCCATGTATTTAAGTGGCATCCATGTTTGTAAAACAGGTAAGAGAGTATGTACAGATTTGGTGGTAATATACAGATATTGTCACCTTCAGACTATTATAAAATCTGTGAATAAAGTCATTGCCCAGACCGTAAATAAGATGGCACCTTTATCACAGTATGTATGCTTACAGTGACCTGAGTATATAGCAGTGTTTAGGCCAAATGGCAATGGAAAAAAGAGCGCAGAAATGTGAAATAACAGGATGTAAATAAGGCACAACTTTTATTCTGTTTCTAAAATCTACAATTCAGTATCATCTCATACTTTAATGTCCCCCTTTCCATTACTTCTGAGTGCTAGAGACTGGCCACAGTGCTAAGTTTGTCAGCCTTCCTATTATTCATCTCAATAGCATTTTTTATACAAAGACCACCTCAGGAAGAAAGTGCTCCCGATAAGACATTCAAGAGCTAAATATAAAATAAATGGAAAAAAGTGACATTGTTCAGTCATGATCCAGTTATACTGCACATCTGCTTGTCTATAATTCACTGACATTTGACATCTATTGCAGTTTGAACAGCTGGCATATTTGTGGATGGAGAGGCAAAAGTCTGGTGGCAATTACAGCCGACACAGAGCTCAGACGGAAAAACATGTCGTGCTGTGTGTCAGCTCTCTGAAGATTGACTTACTTATGGATTTCTTAAATGAATTCTATGCTCACCCAAGACTGCAGGTATTTTTACAATGAAAAAAAGGAAAAAAAATAAAAAAAAAGAGTTAAACACCAGTACTTTGCAGACAGCCTTTTGAAATGGCTTCATTTTTACAATGAAAAAAAGGAAAAAAATTTTTTAAAAAAAAGAGTTAAACACGAGTACTTTGCAGACAGCCTTCTGAAATGGCTTTTAATTTGTAAAACTGCATTTGGGAACAGCTGACTGGATTGGGACTCTATAATTGCAATAAGGATGAGAGATACAGTATGGATACATTCATTTTAAATTGAGATAAATGGATTAAGCAGAAGGAATCACTGTTTTGTTGAATTATATTAGTGCTTTTAGAAGCAAGTTTTTCCATGTAGCTTCCTTTTTTTCTATCTCAAAATAGAAAATAAATGAAAACTGCTCAAAGTATTTTTGGAACTGCATCCAGAACTCCTTCACAAGTTAAAGAATCTTTTGGTTTGGACATTTTGTTTTGTTTTCTCCCATGTTATGAAGATTATATCCTTTGCAGTTAAAAAAACAGATGTACATTAAATGATAAAGACGTCATTTATAGACAAGGATGTCATAGAATATTTCCACAGTGTATGTATTCCCTAACACTCTCAGTGCAAGATGATGTCATATGAGTGGGTCCATATTTGGATCTGATCATATAAGACTTATTTATATTAAATAGCAATTTGGATTCAATATTATCATCTTTGCTATAGACCATTTCTTTTAATACATCTTCTATTTCTGAATCTTTTCCTCAGCTACCTATGGTATCTTAATTCTTTAAGTAGCATATGAAATCACAAAACAAAATACTCAAGTGACTGAGCAGCAGTTTGCAAAGTCCCAAATATACACTAAATTAATAAGCTCGTAAGAGGTATAAGCAAATGCACAAAAAAATTATTAGAAGTATACAGAAACTGAAGTCCAAAATTTAGTAACTAGCGCAAATAATAAGTCAGCCCCTATATTACACTGGAGACAAAGGAAAAAAGTCCTAATATTACTAATATAACTTAAAAGAGCTGTAGATACATTTCCTTTACAGTCAGTCGCCTTGCAGAATGGGAGGCTGGAGGGCACACACAGATGAGACACTAGATTCAAGACACTGTTTTCTGAAAATCTCCATGGGTAGTGAGGAAAGCCTCGGTTGAGCCTTTCCTAAGTGCTTGATCCTTTTCTTCCCTAAACCTCCCACGTGTCTCTTTTTCACACATACATATACGTATATCTTAGAACAATATTACTTTTTCTGCATAAAGACTGTACCACAGGAAATAGGGTTTGGATATGCCTGTTAACACAGAGGTTAAAAAAATGAGCAGGTACTAAAGGTGGGGAAGAGGCTTTTGCTTGGATTGGGGAAAGTTTCTTACACTTTCCAGCTAGAATGGACTTTTGTAAGTGCTGTACAGGTCTTCAATGATTTTCATTAAAGAAGAATTCAGTATTTTAAACCCTTCTATGTCAATGAAATTTGAGAATTATCACAGATGTTTCTGACATTCTGAGCCTCTGTTGTCTTATCCTCTAGCAACAACAGATGGTAATATAAATAATAACATGCCTATTCCCCCTTATGTTTTTGACAGGACTATTATGTCGTTATTTTGTGTCCTACTGAGATGGATGCTCAGGTCCGAAGGGTGTTACAAATCCCAATGTGGTCCCAAAGAGTTATCTATCTGCAAGGCTCAGCACTAAAAGATCAAGACCTGTTGAGAGCAAAGTAGGCAAATATTGACTAATACTTATTTTTTACTTGTTTCACAGGCAACATTTTACTAAGTTTGACAGGCAACACGAGCTTTGTTAGAAGGAAAGCATGTGCACTTAAGAAAGCAGAGATCTCTTATGTAATCTGTTTTTCCTTATCTATGAAAACTGATGAAAGAGATAAATATCTGTAAGCTACTTATTTTGACCAAGTTTGTCTTCACTGTCTTTTCTGTCTCAGTTTTTAAAAGGTGTTAAAACAAGAGTGCATATAAACAAAACAATTCCTCCAAAAACAGTACGGAAGATTACAAAACTGCCAGAAATGCTAGAATTTATTTCTTCTTCTTGAGCAAATGTGACAAAGGTCTGATCTGAAGGGAAAAAAAGTAATCAAAGTAATGACTTCCCTTTTAACTCATCTCACATTCTTATTTCCTTATCCAGTCCAGACTGATAATTGCAAGCAGCTACTCCATCACACCACCATGCAAGACCTTTCTCTTACCACATACTTCTAGAAAATTTACTCTGTCAGTTATTATCCAATAACACTAATGAAAACAAATCAGTCAAGCATATTTCCTCAAAACAAAACAAAAAAAACGCAAAACACCAAAAATCCAGTGCTCAATCGCTGGAAGGTGGGAAGGAATTAACAGTAGAATTCACGTAGGAGGATCATCTCTTCAAACTCTCCAAAGAGATAAAGATGATTCTTAGCAAATAACTGATTTAGGTAACCTGCACTGTTCTTCATAAGAACTTCTCTCTCTGCACTAATAAAGATATTTAAAATTAAGGCAATACTTGCCTGAGAATTTATGGCAGTCAGCCTTCCCAGCAGAATTGTTCCAGCAATAAAATCAATCTGAGGAGCCTACTGAGCAGTATTTTTTCAAATTTCTGCTACTGTAAATAGAGCTACTTTTGTATCTGTTTAAAAATTGAAATTTTGATCAAGCTTCTATCAGAATTAAGTTTTTTTTTAAAAAAAAAAAGATTTAAAAAGAACGTTGTGAGAGGGTTGATTTTAAGAGATCCTTCCCATGGTGGGATTTAGTTGGCATTTGTTCTACACACTAGGAGAAGAAAAATTATGCTGTTCCCTAAAGATAATCATGAATTTCACTTATAATAACCTAGAGCTAGTCAACTGTGGAAATGTGCTTTTTCCTGCAGAACACGTAATTGAATGTACCTGTCATAGAATAATTTTTAACCTCTCCTGAGTGAAAAAGCATAGTGGGAATTTAATAGAATATTTAATATGAAATATAACCCCATATCTAAGCTGTTTGCTATTTTTCTTTTAATGAGAACATAATGTACTGAGAAGATAAGGCACACAGTAAACTCTTCTAATAAATAAAATAATGATTAGTAACAAAAAAAGCATCTCATTATCATAATTTATACATGTATTATACATTAATTGCAATGTCAAAATAACATGAGAAAGGTTGCACTGAAAAAGCAAAGTAAGACCGAAAGTGGGCTGACTGCATTGTTAGCAAACGACCAGAAAATTAAGAATTGTATTTCACTTTATATGCCCTAGAACACAATTTGACTTTACAGATTATTATATTCATTCTTGTTTCCTACTTTTTGAGAGCCTCACTTTGTGATCTTTTGTGAACAGTATTTGTGTATTCAGGTTTAATAAACAGAGTAAACTTTGTCTTGTGATACCACACTGATGCTGACATTGTTGATCAGCCAGACTGCAACCTTTGTTCCATCTTGAACATTTGAAATAACATAGTAACTGAATAAAATGCTTCTAAATGACCAGCACTAGAGAGTAACACAAGTAATGCTTGATTTCTTTCCCTTCATCTTTCTTCCATGTTCTGTCATGAACTCAAATATTTTTTTTTTACCTCTTTCCTTATATTCTTCCTTTCTCCTCTCAACCCTGTCACAAATCTTCATACTGTTAACATCCACTCTTTCTTTATACTTTATCCTCTCACATATTCCCCTCAGTTTACAATGTCCCTTTAATTTCTAACATCCTCTAGCAGTGGAACTATTGGGTTTTTGTCTCAAATTCAGATTTTCTGGCATATTTAAACAGTGTAATTGCCAAAAAAAAAGAAAAAGAAAAAAAACTTTCCCAAATAATAGGACATCAATAGGACAACTGTTCTCTCATAGAGAGTCTCTGGGTTCTAATAACTGTGTTCAATAGAGATGCTATTAGCATTTCTGTTGTTGACGTTCACAACATTTATAGATAGTTAATCTCAGGCTGCTATCCTTGTCATCTGTGGCTGAAATGATTCAAGAAAAAACACTTCAAAAAAGGAAAAGAATGACTATGGTCTCATAAGCCTCATTTACTTACGAAACCATTCAAATATACTGTTGATCCCAGTTTCCTCACCAGCTCTCATCAAAATCTGTTCCCTTGCTAATGTCACTGAATTTTCTTCCATACAACATTATTAAAGCCCTTGCCTTCTCACTTTTGCTCCTGTGCTTGGCCGAAACTACTTATACAACCTCCTGTGATTCCTTCCTCACCAAAACTCTAAAACTACTTCTCTATCCTCGTTGCTCCTCCATGTCACTTGCAGTCTTCTCAAGCTTCCCTTATCTTCAAGCTGTTAAGGGCTGCTTACTGTGTAAAGGTACGACAGTTAGGAGTTATTAATGATACAGAAGCTTCTTCCCCAAACTTCTTAGTTTCTTTCCCCTTGTTCCCCTTTCCAGGAACTCCATCCCGATCATCCTGTTTCCCTTTGCCCAGAAACTCCAGTTTTCATAAGCAGTTGACCAGGTGACTTTCTATACTTCCCGACACCAGTAATTGGTATGGGATGCACTGGGAGAGGATATTACAAACTGAGGCAAGAGTGCAACAATAATGAGGTCATGAGACCTTCAGTCAGTTTGTTTTTCACCTCTGCTTCCACCTCAAACTCTTATTACCTGACCTGTTTCACCTACTGTAGAATAATCACACATTAGAAGTTCTCAAAGGACTGCAGACAGAAAACAATTTGTTCAACACAGGCATACAAAGTCACTTGTTATCCATCCCTAACACATTCCACTGTGTATCTACCCATCATTCCACTAGCACCGGACAAGGCAATTTGGTGTTATGGCTGTTACCTGCCTTCTCATATTCATTCTTACCATTAATAACTCCTCATTATGGTACCCTTACACAGTAAGACACAGTGAGTGAGCAGCAGAGTGCTGCTACTTCTCCACTTTTCAACTCATGGCAAATAAATATTTTGCAGAGTGAATGTGCAGAGGCCACACTGATGTTCTTATTTTGGCACAACTTCCACTGACATCAGAAGTTAGTTTGGTAGAATCTCGTCAAGAAGCAATGACGAGCTGTGAATTTTCTACACAAGACAACTGCTGCTGACATTCAGATGGTGGATGAAAACAGATAGATAGAATAAGCTTTCTCAGTATTCAATTTCTAAGCATATATAGGATTATGAACTGTGAAACACAAGTCCACAGAAATATTTTGTTTGCAAATAACAGGTTTTTCTCTTCCCCATTCTAGAATGGATGATGCTGAAGCTTGTTTCATTCTGAGTAGTCGCTGCGAGGTGGACAGGACAGCAGCTGTAAGTTTTGCAGAAATAAATAAGAACGAGTGTACATGCTGTTTATACTGTTACCAGCCATATTCCCTCCCTAGCCTGAGACTTCTGTGCATGTAAGATTAAAATTAGCTGTTTTAAACAGAGATTTTGCATGAGTGGGATGAACTGCTCTCAATTAAGTTATTGGAAAGGTTTCTATTGGATTTGTTAAGGCCAGGTTTTCACAAATTCAGGAAATTAGATTGAATGTCTCATTTCACATGATGTATCTACTACTGCTTTCTTAGAAACTAAGATATATGAACTCTACCAATGAAGCTACAATTTTATGGTATATGTTAGTCATATGTTGAGAAAAGATTTTTAAAAGCCTAAAAATGTATATGATTTTCTACTACAGTACTCTTTAAAAACACAGTTCACTTGCTGAGTAATACATTTCCGGACATTCTCTCTCTCTCTCTCTTTTTCTTTTTTTTTTTTTCATAGAGTAGCAGAATATCCATTTTAACATTTAGGTATCATTTCTGTATATTGTATTTAAATATAAAAGCATTATCCTGATGCTGTACAGATTTGTTGACACTTGGTTATTAATCACTCCTAAGAGTAGCACTCAATCAAAAATAGTAATTTTATTCATATTATCTGGACTAATTGCAGTTTGCTCTTAGTGTCTAATTTAGAGAGTTATATTTAATAAAGCAGAAAAGAAATATACCATCTGGCTGGTATTTCCATTCAAAAACTTTAAACTAGCAAATGCTTATTGTGAACAAAGTAAAAATTGAATACAACTTTATAAATCATTTAGTGACTAATATCAAACCACCAATACCTTTAAGAATAACTTAGTATTTTTCACATTTGTTAATAATAGATGTGAAAAACATGAAGATTTTTTAAATGATGTTCATGCTAATAGTTATTTGCTGTCAGAGTTGTTACTATCCAGAAAGAAAGACTAGTGATACAAATAGGCAGCATATCTGTGATAAAAGAATAAAAGTATTTTAGTATGAACTAGAACTTATTAAATTAGTGAATTACCTATTGATTGCAAATAACCAGGGGAAAAAAAAAAAACACTGAGGAAGAAGCGTTTATGATCTCAGTTTCATCTTTTCCACCATGATTCACAAGGTAGAGTATTGCACACAACCTGTCTCTGTTCAGTTCAATCTTGAACTGCAGAGCAAGGTGACCAAGATAGGCTTAAGGATCCACAGAATTAAATTAGATTGTTTGTAAATTGCTTGACAAGGTCAAAGTTGTGTTTTCAAATTAGTTTACCTCAATTGTAAAAAAGTTAAGATAGTAATATGTGGAAATGAAGAAATGTGTCTATATAGAGAATTTTAGTCTGATTTGCATCTGTTAATATTCTCTTTCACAGTCTCCTGTTCTACTTCTAGATTATAAGGAATGGTGATTAGTTTTCTAAATGTTAAAATTGGGAGTGAGTAAACATGAGAAATAAAGACTTTGCATCCAATATATGCAAAGTTTCTTATATATTACTCGTCACAAGTACTTCTTCTGCCCTCAAAACCTACTTACTACCATACCTACACATACAGCTGATCAGGAAAAAAAAATGACAGAAGCACCAACAAAAGCTGTAGTTAGCAAAAAGAAAAATAATATACCCTTTGTAGAAAAATGAGCTTCTAGAAGAAAACCTCCACAGAAACTGAAGGAAAAATTTCTTAACAGTGAGGGTGCCAGAGCACTGGAACAGGCTGCCCAGAGAGGTTGTGGAGTCTCCTTCCCTGGAGATCTTCCAAACCCGCTTGGACGCAGTCCTGTGCCACGTGCTCTAGGTGACCCTGCATGTGCAGGAGGGTTGGACTAGATGACCTCTAGAGGTCCCTTCCAACCTTACGCATTCTATGATTCTATGAACTTTATTAAAAGTTTTTTGGTAGAATACTTTACTTTTGGTAGAATACTCTACTCTTTTGGTACAATATCACAGTACTCTAAAAAGTATTTTGTTTCAAACCTAAAGATCCTCAGCTAAACACTTCACTTGCATAAAGCCACTGAACTGTCTCGAGAAATAAATCTGTGCTCCTGTTATGATATTCCAACTTTTCTTGAACTAATGGCATTGAATTTGATTAATCAGCACTAGACTCTTGAAAACAGAAGTGAGACCCACTGAATGCAGCAAATAGTCCTAGAGAAAATGTGAAGTAAGGCAAGTACTCAGAATGTACTATTTGGAAGTGAAAGAGGTACTAGGGTACTTATACATAAGAATAGATAGTAATTCCTGCAAATACCTGTGAAAATACTGGTTACTTTATGGCACTGAAGAAAAAACTAAATCACCTTGCTTAAATTAGCTCAGAAGCAGCTGATTCTGATTCAGCTTAAAATATCTTGTTTCACAGAATACTGGACAGTTATAAAGCAGTTCAGAAATGAGAAATCCCAAACAACCAGAGGACGTGAATCACAGCCATTCCTGTACTCTGGACCTTTCCACAGCTGTAAGGACATCTGCACTGACACAGGCATCACTTAGATGTAAGCTGTGCATCTCCGCTCTGCTCATAACCCCTCCAAAGGATACACCAAGAAAGGGCAATTTTTAGCCCTGCTAAGCTTTTCCACAGGGCAGCCAGTGGGCTCCAAGTGTCTTCCATCCATTCTGGCTAATCCTATTCGTTTTTGGTTTCCAAGTTACAGCCAGCTCCATGCAGCCTTTCTGTCCTCTTAGCCAGGGTGCCCCAAGGAATAGTAAAACGGGACCTGGCACATTTTGGCCCATCTATTCCAATACAGATCATTATCAACATTCAGTTATCCCTACATCCAGACATCCAAAATCGAAGTTCTTACTGAAGAGATGATCCCACTTCTGCTTGGGCAAAATGCCCTTTTGGGTGACTAGTCATAATGTGGCAGCAGTTAGCAGATGGTTTCTTAGATAGAATAAATATCATGAACCAAGCTTTTCTTTTCCTCTTTACTTGAATTCTGTACATTTTAAGAACTTTCATCCCCTACAATCACGCCTTACGGGGAAGGCCCTTGTCTTGGCAGCACTGCATACACCTACACTTCCCCTTTTCGCAATACAGACCTCAACAATCTGCTATAAAGCAAATAATATTATTTTCACAGCCTGCTGTGCTGCAGAAATCAATTTCTGCCACTGAAATCAACCATCACTCTTTATAAAGAGTTGTGCCTTCATTCTCTTTAACCTTTCAGAAAGTTTTCTTACCCAAGTTTATATAGAATGAAAAAAAGTCCTCTCCCCCCATGGTGATTCTCCATCTTTTCCAGCTACTCATGTAAAACAAAAAGTAACTATTTTGATCTCTTAAATTCAGACTTTCACTTTGCCAAGTGCAAGCAGGAACTGATCATGCATGTCTAAACTCTGTCCCTTATTCTGTCCCTTCCACATTATATGCCATCTGTCAATAAACAGTATTTCTCAGAGAAATGGCAAAAAGAAATGATAGGAAAACATAAAAGAGCAAGAATATGACCAAATGGTGCTTATAGTTCAAAAGAAGCTATTATCTTAGACCTATGTTACACATTTATCGAAGTCAAGTATTTGCTAGAACTTCAGCAAATGCCACTGTTTGAATAAGTTAGGATTTTTCCAAACAAGAGATGTTTGCTGGGAAATACCAGCTAATGAGAACTGGAATGAGTCCAAGAAAGCCTGTCGGTTTCAAAAATGTCTAAAGAAGGCCAGCTCACCTTGAGGGTTGAGAGATTAAAAAGTTCCTTCAAAAAGGACCTGGTCCCACGGGGGCTCCCCAGAGCCAGGCGCCCCGGGGCTTCCAGACTCAGCCCCCGCTGCAGCCCCCTGCTCGCGCTGGTCACGGCTCGGCTCTCAAGCCTGTCACCGGCCTGGCAGCTCAGCACTCCTAGAATGTTTAAGATTCAGAGACATCGTTTATTCTGTGGCTCCAAAGCAAACAGCATAAATCAGGAATCTGAATTGCAACAGTGAGATTAGGCTCTGAGGGTCAATGTGGTTTGTGTTCCTCTTGCTTTTTGTTGTTGTTCAGATACCCATTTCACATGCCATAATTTATACTTTATATAATAGGGCAGATTTTTGTCTCTGCTTTTTGTTTCATCTTACCGCCCTCTAGAGCTTTGAAATGAAATAGAAACTTCTTCTATTCACTACTAAGGAATATTTTAATATAAGTTACTGTTTGTCACTGAGCTAAAGGAAGTTCAATTTTGAGCCCATCTCAGTATCTGTCAATATAACTGCAACTGATTTTTCAACCTGCTTTGCCTGGGAGACTGACGAGGTGTTAGGGATACCTTGGATCCTGTCCTACATCTGACAGTTGCTAAAATAAAAGTTAAAAGACACATTTAGGAGATCCCTGTCCAGAGCAGCTCTTATGGGATTTTTCAAAGTTCATGAGGGCTTTTCTCTCCCCAGCTGCAGTCCTCAGAAGAGGATCTCCTCATTTGCCACAGCTACCACTGGCCGTTCATTGCCTGCCCTTTTGCTCTTAATACATGTAAGCACCAGAGTCTGTTACTTCTCATCCATGATTCTCAACTATAGCTCAAAGAAAGCACAACACCAGGTGACAGGCAGCTACTTCATAAAAATTGTCAGACCAAGAATCTGCCAGCTTTTTACAATCTCCTACCATGCATTTTCTCTTTCTTGTCAAGACAACGCTTTGCCAAATTTTATTTTATCAAATATCTTTTTGACATCTCAGACCAAGATGTAAGCTGCTCATCTGCTATGCTAAGCAGGACAGACACCTGTTTCACATATGGAGGATTTATTTTATTAAGCATTCTTTATTCTTATTTAAAAAATACTCCCAGGGAAGAAATACTGTCTTTGGACAGTTACGCTTTCAAGAGAAAATTATTTTTAAAAATTCACAGAAAATATCTGAATAAACTGGGAAAAAAAAGGCAAACTAAAAGGATTGAACTTAATTTGCTGGTATAATTTTGGTTTATCACAGCAAATTCAATCTTAACTCATGGATGTAGCATTCAGGAATGAAAAATACAATTCTCCCAGACTTTATTAAGTCTCAACAGCCATCAATGAAGTAGTCATTCAAGAAGTCGTTCTTTCTCACCTCCTTTACAAATCAACAACAAGGTCTGTGCCTGGCTGCTATGGAAAGGACAGAGAGGAAACCAGCTATGTCAAACCCTATGTAATGAAGTAACATTATTACTACAAATGACACTCAAGATTCTGTTTCCTTGATACTATTTGCATAAAAAGGGCAGATAACCTGTCTGTAGTGACACAGATTTTTCACATCTGCCCTAAATCTGCCTCCAGCTTCTTGCTCATATCAGTGCTATATCACCCCATTACCCATCCACTTGCTACTTGTAAAACAAGCTGAGATTTCATTCCCTTCAGACAAAACACCAAGAAGCCCAAATGCCAAAAAAAAAAAAACCAAAAAAAAAACAGGGTCATAAGAAGTCATATGCGGAAGAAAAGGGGTTGAAAAAGTGACTGCAAAAGAGGAAAGCTTAAAGCAAGTTCTCAAATCCCCTGGATGGCCAACAGTCTATACATATAATCGTTCATAAAAGTGTTAATAAGATAAAACATAAACTTATCTGTTTTACCATAATCAAAAGGTCTTCTTCTAATTCCAGTATTTCTAGCAGAAGAGCTACTTAGTACCATCTCAATTGACATTAAAATATTATAGTTTGAAAATGTCAATTACGCACTGTTCCAGGCAGAGATTTTCCCTTGTGTTCATGAGTCTGAAAGCTTTCCTTATTGCTGATGCTGCAAACATAATGAATCACTCTTTATATTTTATCTTTTAATAGCACCAATTTCATGACTAGGCAAGGCATTTCAAACCAAATATTGTTTCCTATGTGGAGTTCTCAATTATTCCTTTTTCTTTCTGAAATAAATAAAAACTATGGTTACTATGTTGAAGTGAACCATATTTCATGGAATCCAATATATTATCAAATACTTTCATGGGATAGCAACTACCTATATTTAACTCTCATTTGACATATAGTAATAAGCACAAAAACTTAAAATCCAGTGGCCAGTAGGTGGCTAAATTCTGCCATCAGTTATGAATATGCGCTAGCTGCACAAAAATGCAGTTCTATTTCAATTTTTGGTCTTTAGCTGATATTTTGATTTGTGGTGTTTAGCTGATAATTTGTGAGACTTATCACTAACTTAACATTTAAACCTGATATCTTCATTCTACATTACTCAAATGTGGAGCCTTTTCTAAGCACCTTTTCTAATATATCCATCAGAATTAATTATGTGTGGGTCATCATTACTATCTAAGAGCTTTCACACACATTTTCCCCAACCAAATGTCAGCCCTCTCGAATTAAGCTATTGCTGATACTTGTAAAAGGATAATAGAAACAAAATATCCCACATGCAGAAGATTTCCGGAAACAAACCCTCTCTTCCTCATTCCAACAAACAGGCTCATAGTATACTACAGGTAGGAAGACAGCTTAGGAGGTCTTCAGTCCAACAACCCTTCCCAAAGCAGGGTCAGCTGTGGGCTCAACCAGTTTTCTGTAGGGCTTTATCCAGTCAGGTCTTGGAAAGCTGCAGCACAGCCTTCCTGGGCAACCTTGTGTCAGTGCTTGACTATCCTAATGGGGAAAAGGCTCCTTATATCCAGGCTCAACCTTATTTCCACCTACATCCCTTGTCCTTTGTCTCCTACCACGTAGCACTGTGGACAAGTGCTCCAGCCCGCAACCATCTTGGAGGCCTTTTGTTGAACTCACTCCAAATTGTCCATGTCTTTCCTGTACAGAGGGGTGAAAACTCCAGTATCAAAATGCAGTCTAACTTGTGCGGAGCAGAGAGGGACAATCCCTTCCCTCCCTCTCTGGGCTGTGCTCCTGCCTGGGATGCGGTTGGCTGTCCTTGCTCCTGGGGCATGGGGCAGGCCCACGCTCTCCTGTCTGCCCAGACACCCAGGTCCTTCCAGGAGAGCTGCTCCCAGCTGGTTCCCTGCCGTGGCCAATGCAGGGTGCTACTGCATTGTACTGTATTTCACTGACATCACCTCCTACTCTTTATTTCATTTTAGGATCATCAAACTATTTTAAGAGCTTGGGCAGTTAAAGACTTTGCTCCAAATTGTCCTTTGTATGTCCAAATATTGAAACCTGAGAACAAATTTCATATCAAGTTTGCAGGTAAGTATCATATTTCAGCCATTTAAAGAACTTGCTGATATTTTTGGTCATTTGTTTTTATAAATACGTAAACAAAGTCAGATTCCCTAGAGATATTTACCACTTAAAAACAGTCTTTAAAAAGAGCAAAATATTGTAAAGGACCATGCAATGTACCTATCATAACAATAGTAAAATGTCATGCTTTGTATTAACATCTTATTCATAAGCATTTAAAGGATTACTGTATTAACATGTTGTGTTTTATAGCACATTATATAGAATTGTTTCATATATAGCACATTTTTACTGTATAATTAGAGAGGCAGGTGCTATATCAAGATCAGGTTGCCAAATCCATATCTTTAAACCATTTCTATTGTTTGAATCTTACTATTACCAAGGGCCATATGGAGAGAACAGGTGAGAAAAGGCCCAATGTCATCTATACAATTAACTGAAAAAATAGGCTCATTCCAGTGTTTTTTTTTTTCCCTAAATGGTTAAAAAAATTATTTACTTTCAAATGTATTTGAAAGAAAAATATCATTTAGTTCTAAATCCAGTAAAATGAGTATCTTAGAAACTAAGAGTAAAAAGCAGAAAATTGTTAAGAAACCCAAACCGCATAAGAACAGGTTACTAGCTTTAATTTGGCACACCATTTTTGGTTTTTTTTTGGCAGTATGTAAAAAGTAACCACACACACGTTTATATTTATATACATACACACACACACACAGATGCAAACACACCCCTATACGCACACACATTTATATGCTCATACAAATACACACATACCTGCTTTTGTGTGAAAACATGCAAACATTTTCCTAAGAACAACATATTTTATCCTTCTTTGAAAAAATATCTCTGTAAGTAGAAGCAAAGCTTTCTGTTTCAATCATAACTTGAAAAATCAGCTTTCTTGAAGTATATTTTGAGAATAAAAGATTGCTGATTCATGCAAAATTTAGAAAACTCAATGGAGAAATATTAGTCTCCTTCATCATCTCAGAATGTGATGAAAAAGCAAATTTCACTGCAGAGCAATTCCAGAGCAGCAGTTAAAGCTGTAATTTTAAAGACTACTGGATTTATCAATAGATTGAAAAGAAGGCAAAAAGCATCAATAACAGTCCCAAAGTCATAAAAGCGTAATTTTAAACTATGATTCGGAATAGCAGGGAATAAGACTCATACTGTGACAAGTATTATCATTTTTTTTTCCTCTCCTCCTTTAAAACAAAAAGCACCAACATAATCTCTTCTCTTTAGCTATGGCAACACTTCCTGATCCGTAACTGTGGTAAATTGTCATTCCTAATTGTCTTATTAATACAACTCCGTTATTCTTAAGGTCTTATCTCTGCAGGAGCTTATACATAACTAGACTTGCTAAAAAGACGTATTTTGGTTATACCTCTGTTCTCAGATTATATCTGTATCTCAGATTATATCTGTTCTCATTCTCAATTTGAGAATTTGGACCACATAATAAAACACAAAACAAAATACACCCCAAAACAACAACAACAAAATCTTTTTGTAATCCTTCCTTCCACTGAGCTTAACCAAACTACTATCTGACTGTCTTCAGCTAGGGTCTTCAGGGTTTGAGCAGACATTATGTATTCTGAGCTTCATTAGCCTCCTCCAATATTAAATACAGAAGCGTAGTATTGTAGTGTTAAATATTTTTACAACATCTTATATCCCAAAATAATTTTTGAGCCGCTTAGGGTGATCCCTTTCCACATGCTTTGTGTGAAGCAGTATTGTTTCCTTTAATATAGTGCCACTGCACAACAGTTAAGACCAGAGAATTACAGGCTTTTGAACAAAATTAATTAGTCTTACTGGTACAAAACACAGGAAAATTTAAATTAAATTTTAAAATTGGTCAGGTTAGCTACTATATAAACAGCATCATTGGATGCTTACCTGCTGCGGATAGTCAGGCCACTAGTCTGAATCATCAGAACATTTGCTTTCCTAAGAGAGGTCTATTTTGGTTACTAACCTAGTCCAAGTCTGCTTCATTCTGAGATATGCACCCAGTGGAGGCTGCAAACTATAGTTCTGCCCAGAGTCCTTCTAAAGAAAATCTGTTATAAACATATGCAATATTTTTCTAAGTGCTATTCTTATTATTCAAGACTGCTTTACTACTGCCTTAATGCAAAAGCCTTCTTTTAAATTTGATTTTCATTTAAAAAATGACTCTTCTGAAGGTTTACTGAACCAATATTTTGCATTTTTATGAACCTGAAATCCTCAGTAGTAAAATTTCTTCATTTTTTTATGTGCAGGTTTCAATACTGTAACTGCCAAAAATAAAGTTTCTGAATTTAAGGGGGAAAAAATATTGAGGAAGTTTTCGTAACAAAAGTTTAACTTTCCCTGCATTGAAAATGTCTAACACTATAAACCCAATTTCTCAGCCGATTATGTTATAGTGTTTTAATAACAGGTTGACCAATTGCCCAGATTGCATGAGACAGTCCTCAAATATAGTCCCTTACTGCAGCATTCCGATAAAAATCTCCAGGATGCTATTCAGTCTTAGACTTTCAAAACAGTATATTGGAAAAGTACTTGTTATAATTTATTTCACGCCAGAACACAGGAAGCCAAAGACACACCCCTGCATCCTGTTTTCTCTTCGCCCCTGTTATTACTTCTTACATTAAAATCTAATTCCCTTTATTTAAAATGATAACTTACATTAATGCAGTGGCGCTAGTTCTTTGTGCTTGGATATGACACTGCAATGGAGTCAGAAAAGCACACGTCATAAAGGTTTGCCCCAGCAAATTACTTTGCAAATGAGTATGAAAACACTATAAATATACAGTCACTAAAACAACAACTCTCAGATGGATCAGAAAACACTTAATCACCATTGCTAACAGTCTTGTGTCTTGAGCTGAAATATTATGCTTACTCCTGAGTAATTTCCTATACACGAATGCCCTGACACGCCTGACTATTCTTCCAGTGATACTCAATTTCCTTCACAGGCAGTTGCTGATGGTTTCCTTATTCTTTTTGCTTTTCTTTCAAACACAGTAGGCTACAAAAGGCCCTCTACTCTTAATGCATCCAACTGGCTGTGCATTTAAGGACAAACATGAAAAGTGAAAATTATCCACATGTTAGCAGTATCTGTTCGTGTAGTACAGATTCTGAAGAAAATTGCATATTTTCTAAATTTTAATTATAACATTATTCATTTTCTAGTATGAATATATGAATCACTTTTACCTTGAATATTTAGAAATGACATGCAAACAGTTCCAGGAACTGGGGACATATTTCATCATTGTTGATTTATTCTAAATACCCCAATGACTTAGACTGGTGAAATCTGACATAAAAACTATAATACTTTAGTGGAAAGGAGCATTGTCCAGATTCACTGAAATGATTACTGAATGGATGCATGCGATGATTAATATAACCAATTACAGATAAAAATAGGCTAATGGATAGGCAGTTTTCTCTATCTGGTCTGGTAGTAATCATGTTAACTTACAAATAATTAAAGTAAGGTTTCTCAGAATAATTTTGTCAGTTCTAGGATGTTCTTACCACAGAACCAATGCTGCAGGCACAAATCAACACCTTGAGTATGTTTGATTTTCAGGAACATTGCAGAAGTCATAGCTCACTACACTGCGTTCCTACATCTACTTGTGACAGCAACAAATTTTCTTTCAAAATATATTTTTGATAGAAAATATAGTTTCAGAAAATCATAAATTGCATATTGCTTTAGTATAAATGCAATAGAAATACTTCTTTGTGGGAAAATGACTTGACATTTTTAAGATTCAATTCAAGACAAAGTGCATTTTCCTGTGATAGTTGCGTGGCACACTGAATGGTAACTTGGTGATACTAATACTTGATGTCCCAAGACCTGAGGTTTGGGAAAACTGTCACTTGGCTTCCTCCCTACCCACTTTAGAAGAGAAAGCATCAGATATAGTTGCTCATAGCCCAAACCACAGCTCCAGAATGAAAGTCCCAAGCATAATTTAAAACACAGCGACATTAAAAGGAAGCAATAATCTGTCAAATAGTTGCAAATAGTTGCATCTGTCAAATCCATGCATAATACAACAACTTAACTCCAGATAAGAAGAAACCCATAACAGTATTTCTCCTGTTTCAAATGATACAGAAAAGAAAGAAAACGGAAAGCTTTTATAACATAAAACATTCATTTTTATAATATATAAAAGGCAAATTGTGAGGGAGCCAGACAGTTCATGCAATCAGGCATCCAGCTCATCAAGAAAACAGAGCTCAAAACAATAGCTGGACAAAGAGAAGCGCCTTATTGTGAGTCAGCAAAGTTTTCAAAACATATTTTCAAAATGCATTCATATCTTCTGAGTCAACATCAATATTTACTCGCAGCAGATAAATGAATAATTTAGCACAAAACTATTTTCAGTGAATTCATTTCCAGAAATGGAATGAGAATGGAATAAGCATCACATAAAATGAGACGTATTCTAAGAATAGAGATATGCTTGTTTCTGGAATAAATCAAAATTATTTCCAATTATTTAAGATCATATTGTTCCAAGCAAGAATAGAACATATCCCTAATATATTCAGTTAACATCCAATTCTACTATTCCATAGAAGTGTTGAGTCCTTATCACTACGCAGAGAAATTTGTAGGATTAGATTTCTTAAAACCTAGTTATCCAAGCATGTTTGATAGACTGACATTGACTTAGGGCCTTACAAAGTAGCATATGAAACAGCTGATTCCTGTTTTGGAATATACTGAGCCTGGAAGCTGATGTCTCTGTTCACAAATGAATATTTTACATAGCATTTGATTACTTTTTTTTTTTTTTGAAAAAAAAAAACAAACTCCTGAACAGGAATTTTATTTTATAAAATTTTATTTTATAATCTGAAGACTCTAGTTTTTAAAGAATTAGAACAATAGAGTGACGAAAATTAGGGCATTGAGGAACCTGATGTTCTCAAACTACCACTGAGAATTTCATAAGCTTCAAAATACTTTTGAAAGCAGTAGGATATTTTTATCATCCCCCGTTTACACATGCATAAATATCTGTTGAGGGCACACACAGCTCACACAAGGTCAAAGACTACAAAAGAGGTGGAAATAAATTTCAGCATGCCCAGCTTTGTGGCCCCTAATTTAAATACCTGACAAGACAATCTCTGCTTAGTCCCTAAAACATCGGAGATTAAGATGACTATTGTGACACAGCAACTTATTTCCTTGGTGCTATATTTTTTTCTAATACAATAAATTATGTATTATATAGCTACTCAAAAAAAAAACCATGCAAGATAAAACCAGGTATATATTAGATAGTGTAGTATTTATGTTGGATTTAACTCCAAGGTATAATGTGCATTTTTATTTTGTCAACGTTGATTTATTCAGTTTCATTTATATATATTTAGATCATCAGCATGTACCTTTCAGTTCAATACAGAAGCTGAAACAGCAGATGAGTAAATAATTGATTTCTATATTTTGTTCATTTTTTTTTCTTCCAAGTATCATATATATTATTTTATAAACAAAGTAAAGGGAAGGTATTTTTCAAAAAGTCAAAACCACAAAGATTTCTTACTCATTCAATTTTGGGAAGTCGGAATTCATTTTCATAAACCTCTGCTATCTGACTAATGTTCACAGAATACAGATATTCTATCCAGCAGCAGACTATGCCTCAAAACTCTTGTTTTGAATTCAAATAGAGCCTTTTCAGATTTATTAATGGCACACGGTCAACTAAAAAAATGCATTTCTGTCTGAAAACTTTCTGCAGCTAATACTTAATTGTCATAACTGAAATATATTTAGGGGAAGAAAAATCTAAGATTGTTCTGCATTTGACAGCCTCTTCATATAACTAAATTCATTCTTTCTCTGTAACATTTAAGTAGGCCCCAATCTTCAGAAAATGGGAGAATTAATGTCTTTTTTCAAGGGCTGATGATTCTGCTGTTGAAAAGCCTTTACAAATTTCAAAAGAAGAATAGAGAAAGCATACAAAATATGCACCCACTTTTGTGTTCAGTAGGAGGCATGCAAATAGTATGGGACTATAGCCTGGCTAGAGTGACCTACTTACAGGAGTAAGGTAGTTCTAAGTACTTGAATGATGTATTTGTGCATAAGTATCATGAATAAACCCCAAATCCACACAAAAAAAACCCTCTTCGGATGCAGCATATCTTTACAACCTTTGAAAACCTTCTTTATGACTTTGAGTTCCTACATTGATGGGAAATTAATTAAATTTTAAGTTTGCACTTATCCTTTCTTAAATTTGCTTTAAAATTGCCAGGTATACTTTAATGACATTGAAGAGTAACTTTATTTTCCTTTTCATGCTGTCACCAACAAGAACTGTATTTTAAGTGTAAGTCATCTAAGCTGAATAATACTTCATCCTATACTGTAAGAATGTGCAGAAGTGTTTTGAAGTATAAGCCAATGCAGGAGACTAAATCTACTGATTCTGTTGCTTTCTCTTCTCACTTCCTTCCCACTAAGTACCATTAAAGCCCAGAAGAAATATGTATCTCTATAGTGCTGTTCCATCATAGGAAGTACTGTTCTGCAGAAATACTGTTCTGCAAGTGTGTCGTATATGAAAGCCAGACAGGGACTAGGATAAAAGCAACAGTAAGCTGTTAAAAAAACGAAAGAGTAAAATCTAAACCCCACTTGCCTAGATGAGGAGGCAGCAGCAGTTTCCGGAGGAGATGCTCAAATCCACACCATACGCTCAAGCGCAGTGCAGACATCGCGGAGCTGCTGCCAAATCACCCATCTGCAAGGAGCACAGCGTGCCGAGCTGGCCCAGCACTTCCGCCGCCACCCTCGGGATGCGACTGCTGAGGGACAGCACCGTCCCTCTGGGCAATGCTTCATGTCTCTGTTCCAGCTCCTGCAAAGCCACAGAAGGTGCAAGGGATCCAGACTGGGTTATATTACACAGGCTACTCCTATCATTAGTGCAGCCAGAGTGCATGCAGGATTCATAGAGTCATTCCATGCTCTTCACTTGTAGCTGCAAGCCAAAGTAGGCACTGGATGGAAAATTAACTCTAATTAATGAAATCTAAGCGGTAACACAGATGCACAGATGGGTCAAATCATAAGCAGCTACACCCCAAGTGGAAGAGGGAGATCCAGAGGAAAATTCTCATTGTATCTTTTTTTTTTAAACAGGAGATTTTTTTTTGTATCTTTTTTTTTTATTAGGAAAGGAAGTAACTATTGACTGTTCCTATTTGACAATGGTAATTTTTTTTGTAAGAATATTTGTATCTCCTTTTTTTTTTTTTTTTCCCTTACAGATCATGTTGTGTGTGAAGAGGAGTTCAAATATGCAATGCTAGCTCTAAACTGTATATGTCCAGCTACTTCCACATTAATCACACTGCTGGTTCACACATCAAGGGGACAGTAAGTACATAATACCATAAAAGCCTTTGCAAAAGTTATAGCTGATATCTTTTGGAAAATAGCTTACCTTGAGCTACCAGGCAACCACTACATTTTTTTAAAAGAAACTGGAATAGAAGTGTCAAGATGTTTTACTTGAGATACTATAATTTCAAGGAGAACCCTCCCAATTATTTAATGACTAACTTTGTCCTATTGTGCCAATAGCACAATGTAAAATGTGAGAAATCTGTACTTCCAGTTCAGTAGATTGAATTGTAGATATTTCACACAGCTCTACTTAAGAACACCAATAAAAATGAAAAAGACTATTCTAGAATATTTGATTTTACACAAACATCAAAATCCTTTTAACTGAGACTAAGATTTTTTTTCTGATAACATATAAAATAGAATTTTCTATTCAGTGCATATATATTAAAAAGGAAGCAAATATAAATATGAAGAGAGGGTTTAACACAGTGGCCATACAGAGTTTAACACTGTAGGCAGATTACAGTGTCTCTACAGACTTCCCAGTAGGACCTATCTCTATAGGCAAATCCCACCTAGTACAATCTGCCATACTACATTCTTGGAATAATAAGGTATTCACATTGAGGCAGCCCTGACAGGGAGGTGTTAAAGAGTAAGTGTATCTGTAGACGTAGAATACATGAATACAGACAGTACGTTTGAAATTCTAGTAAAAATACATATGTTTTATTGTAGTAACCATGAGCCCAGGAATACCTTGACATTTACAAACAGACTTAGTTAACCTTTTACGTGGCATTTGCAATATTCCCCTGTGTCCTGGACAGGGAACACCAAAATTATTGCTAGAACTTTTACTACTGAGAACAGCAAATGTCAAGATTTTAATGGCACTCTCTGTACTACAGTCTGTTAATAAGGTGACAACAAAAGCATTTCCATATATTCATTGAATACCTGCCTTTCATTACATGGCATGTACCGAATTGAAAGCCCTTTATCATTATCCCATATTATAAGTACATGAAAGATTAGTATGAAAGTAATTCTGTTTTTTGCCATACTAAGGTACTTCAGCACTTCAATTCTAACTTTGCCATATTGATCATGTATACAAATTATATATATGAAGTAGCTTATATTTTAATGGAATTGAAGAGTTCAGTGACAACTCATAGATTAAAAAATTGTCCACAAATTTTACAAACGACGTGCCAGCTATTATATCTAGAGTTATGGATAGGGATTCTATAATAGATTTTTGTTAACAAATAGTTTGACACTCTGATAAATGCAAATTCATTTCTGATCATCATGAAGATAAGTGCACTGGGAAATTGCTAGAAAGTGAAGGCAATAAATAGCACCAGAATACAACAAAAATCACAATTATGTATTATCCTAATTAAAAGGATTCTTCCATAAACAGAAAGAAACAAATATATATAAATTAAAAACATTTATCTTCCGGAACTAATAATGTGAGGAGATTGGGAAATATGCTCATTTTCTAAGTTTGCTTAGATCCAGTCATCATTAAGGGGAGGTTTTTCTGCTATTTATGTGTTTTTTATATTATTTTCATATTAAACAGGTTATATATAAATAATCTCATTGTCTTTGAGTGGTTTAGAGAATCCAAGACTTCAGTTTTTAAGATAGCAAAATTTTACCTTTAACTGCAATCATAATTTCATTATTGATCTTAATTACTAATTGTCATACTTATCATTAAACATTTAAAATCTAGTAATAGAGTGCTATTAGGGCTTGGTTATTACAATGCTGTTAAAAAATATTGGAAGAATATTGGGAGCACTGGAAGAATGCTATTACAAAATATTGGAAGAAAGTGACATTTCTGACTTCATGTGATCCTTGCAGAACAGCACCATGGGAAACTTTTAAACAACTAACTGGAACCAAGCAGACTTTAAACAGGTAAACATTTGATTTTAAAGGGAAAAGTGAAATACAGAAAAAGTTCTTTTAGTTTCCGGTTTTGTAATTCTATACCTAATGCATTCCTATTAATACTATCACAATAAAAATAGCTAGCTTATTTCCATTAATTTTAAAACAAAATATTTTTACATTAAGGGAGGAGAAAAAATAGTAAATTGAAGAAAAGTATAACCTGATTCCAGAAACTGAAAATGTGTAAAAGAATACAGAGGAGCAGAGGCTGGCATTAATAGAAATGCTAGCTCCAGGAGGCAAAACAGAGAGCACATTTTTCAGCTTTATGTGAGATCTATTGAGCCTTTATATCCCATAAGGTTCTTGTAACAGAAAACTATTTCTACATGAAACTTAGTAAAGGTAGACGTTCAAAAAGGCCCCAATCTACCTGTTTTTATGTTCCTAAAGTTTTGTGACACTTTCATTGAGATTCCATGTAGGTAAAGAAATTAGCTGCATACAGTAACAGATCAGGAGAATCTCAATGGGATTAAAGTAATGATTTCTTGTCTTACACTAGAGAAAAAAAGACATTTACTTTTCGTAGTGTACAAGGCACAGTAACTAAAAGCATCCTTTAGGATTAGGGTAAATACTGATGATAGGAAGCAATGTGGAAAAATCTTTCTTACCATTAATGTAACCTAAGCCAAATGGGCCTTTTCTATATAAACTGCCTACAAGCAGTCAAAGAGCATCTAGACTGGGCTTTTACAAAGAGTAAGCACACACTGTTGGAATTGCAAAGAATCTACTTATTATCATGTGATTTTTAACTAATTCAGCCATATTTCTTCTGATATTGAAGTACGTAATCTTAAAATGTCTATTACTTAGCAAAAAATGCTCTTTAATGCATTAAAATAAATCTCTGCACTTCAATATTACTAAGCTTTGATCTCAAATATTTCTTTCAGCACAGTGGACCTTTCTACTAGGCATTTGTAGCTTCTATTGCCTTGAGAAACTGCTCTGTTTAATGAGAATTTTACATAAATTTTTAAATTATTCTCTTTATCTGTACATGTTTCAGGGAGGGGCAGCAATCAGCAGAACAATGGCAGAAAATGTATGGCAGATGCTCGGGTAATGAAGTGTATCATATTAACCTGGAAGAAAGTACATTCTTTGCTGAGTACGAAGGGAAAAGTTTCACGTATGCTTCTTTCCATGCACATAAAAAGTATGTTTATTTTCTTTACACAAAGATTAAAAGATCAAACAAATAATTATTTGCTCTTGCAACATAGCTCTCCAATTAAAACTGCAATATTACACAGTACTCTTTGTCTGGGTTTAAGTATTTGGCCACAGAGATATTTCATGGATATTCTTCTCTAACCTACATCTGGTCAGGTAAAATCTTATGCTGATTCTATATAACTCAGAGAAGAGAATATAAAGGATATATAGGATAAATTAGACAACAAAAAAAGACCCATACCTTAGAAACAGAATATATTAAAACACCAGGTCTTTTCTAATTTTTGATTTAGGAGTCAGATGGAAAACTGGCATGCTCCACTGCACGCTCATTTCCTGCAAAATGTTCAGTTGTGAGGTTGTACATTCTATAGCCTAGCGATTGTTCAAAATAAAAACAATTTCTTCTGTTAGAGTGAACCTTAAGAATGTTAACATATCTTCCTTATTTAGGTCATGCAGAGCTTACTCATTGCTGCTGTCAGTGAACATACAAGCTAAACATAAATCTTGCATATTCATATATAGGTAACAAAATGAACCTATACCAAACCCAGAACACTGAATTCTTTTTCTCATATTTGATAAGGAATTAAAGCAATAAAATCATCTCACTTATTTCCTATCATTGACCAAGTAGATTTTAAATTGAATATCAAAAATAAATTCTGAAAATGGTTTCCATTACATATGAATAATAGAATACTTTATCACGATGAATACTTTCTCATGTCATATATCCATTCTTCTATTAATATATTCTCAGAAGAGAACATTCAGCTGATACAAGAAATTAACTAGAACAGGAGTAGAATCAGTAGAAGATCATTATAAGGATTAAGAAAAATATTGGACTGAATTGTCTAGGGATTCATCACTCTGTAAAAACAGTGTTTGATCAGAAGTGGCCTATTTAGGAGATAACGTTTTTTGAAACACATTTGTCATCCAGAACTCCGCAAATATTAAAAATCTGCAAAATATAAAAATAAATGGAGGTTACTTTTGATCCTGGAAATTTGAGTATATACAGAACTATGCTTAATGAACTATGCCTTTCCTTTTTTAATTAAGGTTTGGAGTCTGTCTGATTGGTGTTAGAAAGGAAGATAACAAAAACATTTTGCTGAATCCAGGTCCTCGATACATCATGAGTTCTACAGATACATGCTTTTACATAAATATCACTAAGGAAGAGAATTCTGCTTTTAAGAAGCAAGAAAAGAACAGAAAAAAACACGAATCAAAACTATCTTATCATGGGACTTCTAGGTTGCCCGTACACAGTATAATAGCCAGCATGGGTAAGTTTAAAAAAAAAAAAAAAAAGAAGCCAATACATGCCAAGATAATCAAGATGAATTCTAAGACGTATGGTGTAAAAATGCAGTGAACATTAACAAGAAAAAAAACTATGAAAAAAAACTATTAACAATCAGAAGTCAGAAACAACATAAAAATGCAACTGCAGGTTGCTTCTTCGGGTGCAGTTTAATCATTTGTTATAGTATTATATAGTAATCAAAATAACCTGCAGTTTTTCCCTTCAATCTTTGGCTGCAGATGCAGACAATCCTCACTAAATACGGGCATCTCATTCACGTGTTTTGTCAACCCCATTGAGAGAGTGTTTTCCACCTTCCTCAGGGACGGTGGCTATCGATTTGCAAGACACGGGGTGCCGACCTTCCAGCGGCCCCACGCTAGCGCTTCCTTCCGAGGCCGGCAAGGAGGGCAGGCGGCCCAGTATCGCCCCTGTCCTGGAGGTCGCGGACTCATCCTCCCTTCAGACATGTGACCTGCTAAGTGACCAGTCAGAAGATGAAACTACCCCATCAGACGACGAAGTCTCTGCAGGCTTGGAGTATGTATACTTCATTATAACGTTATCTGAAAAGCTAGTATTATTTTTCATAGGAATGGAAATAAAACACCTTTTGATTAGGGACGGTCACCTTATCTTTTGGATGTACAGCTTGATCCAAGCAGTGGTAGCCAGCAGGACACCTAAAGGCCAGTTGCAGAATAATTTTTGTTCAAGAAATGCTATTATCTGTTAACTGAGTGCTGTTATGACTGTTTCAAAATGAGAAAAACAAATTAATTTCTCCATTTACTGGAGATTTGCTACACTTGGGACCTAATTGTATATTGCCATTTATTCTATAGGATAGATGCATGACATTTTTCTTATGTTTGTTGTATGGATGAGACTAGACTAATTTGTAAACAGATAAATACTTCTGCCCTCAGAATGCAATGATAATCAGTTTACCCTTCAACAGCCTTGCTGAATACCTAGGAGGAGGCACCCGCATTCAAAATATTGGAACAACAAAAAGAAAGAAAACTGTATGAGACAAAAATTTTTGCTTCTAATTTACAAAGTTTGTTCATGTGCTACTGAAAGTAATGATACACTACTCTGATGAAACAGAACAGTCAGTCCTGTGACTCTCATATACATGAACAATTATGTTTATTGGGATTACTGTTAAAACTGAGATGCACGACAAAGGCTGTGGCTCACCTAGCACCCTTTTCCATCTCCAATAGTGGCAAATATGAGAAACCTCAGGGAAGATCATAAAACTCCAGTAAAAGAAGTAATAGAGTTAATTATCCTCAATTTTCAAATGGAAATACCAGGATTTATAAGGTCTGCTATTCCCTGTCCCCCCTCCGCAGTAGCTGTGGATATTCTGATTGTGCATGTGCACCTGAAAAACTCCTACTGCAAGTCTCATCGGCATCGCACCAACAAGAGGATTTGGCTTTTTTGGAAAATATAAGAGAGCCAGGGCTATTTAAAAAATATTCTAACCATGTTGAAAATATATTATTAGGAGAAGAAAAATAAAAAAAGAAGTTACTTGAGATTAACATTTGCTCATTATTTCACTTACTTTTCATTAGTTTTTGAAAGGAAAATGGAGGAAGTGGAAAAATATAAGGTCCACTATTTTTCTTTCTTGTATTCCTTTTTTTTCCTTTTCTAGAAGGTTCCAGCATAAATGTTCAAAAAGCTACATTTTACATTAGGCTATTTCCAAGATGCACATATGCAAAATAAGTAAAATTAAAAAATCAAAATTCCTTTGATAATCCAAAAACGTTATAGCTGCCAGCAATTTTTATAGAATTACCCTAAGATATGAAATGCATATTTTTTTGATCCTAATTAAGAATATGTTTCATGTGCTTGGCTGTTAGTTTAAGTAACTACCAATGTCCGTCATAGGTACAACCCCCCTGCCATAAAATATTTGATTGGTCTGTTGTGTTTTAGCAATCGCCTTGAAACTCGAAAACTCTTGTTCTATTCTCCTAGGTATGCCAAAGGATATCCTCCTTACTCTCCTTATATTGGAAGTTCCCCTACATTTTGCCATCTTCTTCATGAAAAAGTGCCCTTCTGCTGTTTAAGACTAGATAAGGTAAATCGAGTTGTTGTTACAGAATAAAACTGTATTTACATTTGTCTCTTAAATGCAGCAAAGTTTGATTCTAGTTTCTACTTAGAGATAAGATTAGTTTAGCAACTGCTAAGTTATCTTTCTCACCCTTTTCATCATCAGAAAAACATTTGTATAGCTGTAAAATCATCTCAAGTTTTATTTTTCATTGTAAAGTTCTTCACTGTCATAGCTACATATCCTTATCTGTAATCCACTCAACTTGTTTCCTATTCTGATCTTAGGGGTGCCAGCATAATTACTATGAGGATGCCAAAGCCTACGGATTCAAAAATAAATTGATTATAGTTGCTGCAGAAACTGCTGGAAATGGTTTATATAATTTTATTGTTCCACTCAGAGCTTATTACCGACCAAAGAAAGAACTAAATCCTATTGTATTACTCCTGGATAACCCGTATGTAGATTTTATTATTTTGTTTTCTGATACATTTTCAAATCAATTTGGCATTATTTTGATAGATGGTTACTCTTCATATAGCTAGCTTAAAATCCAAAACATTATGGCACATCTTTGAGAAAGGCTGGTGACAAAAATAATACAATGCATTAACTGGCTTGTACTAAATTGAGTTGCTGATTACAAATGGTCAGTTTGAATTTAAATGATCTTGTTCTTTGTGGGCAATATTTAAATTAAAATTCCTTATAGTATCCCAAATTACATTAATATTATTGCATCACAGTAAAACTAAAATACTTTACAAACACTGTTTAAAAAAAAAAAAATCTATGTAACAGTAGTTCAGACACCAAAAACCTACTTACACTTAATGGCCTGTTTTATTTCAGAAGAGACTGCACTAGAGTGAGCGATATGTAAAATGCTACACATAACTGGGGGCAAAACTTAAAATGGACTAAACACTACATTACAGGAATCACCCACTAAAACAAATCTCGATTTAAAATTCCTCAGGAACCTTCTCTCTCCCATTTCCGCCAAATTCCACTTGAACACATCCTCCTGAAAACTCCAGGAAAACCTCCTGCAGTTAGCAAACCTCCTCCTCCAAAACCAAAGACATGTTAGGAAACATTTCTTTACCTTTCCCACAGGTTTTTATAGCATTGGAAGTAACAGAAAAATAACATATGTGATACATAGGTTTACATACATCTCTGAGTCCAAGAAAGGCAATCTTAAAGCACAGTTTCTCAACTGTGTCTTTTTTCCACTTCTCAAACTGGGGTTAGAAAGGTAAAGAAACATACCAAAATCATAAAGGCCAAACAAACTTTCACAGAGGGCATCCAGAGAGAGATAATGCCCCACAGCAAGAATGATGTCTGCCTGGTCTTGGTAAGGCTGCAGGAATCTTCAGAGAGTACTTAAACCTCTCAGACATCACAGTAATCTGTTTTACTGTTGTATCTGTCTGGAAATCTCTGGAATTCTTAGTAGCTGTTTGATAGTAGTTATTAATGAAGTAGCCATTTAAAACTTCAGACGAAATCTTGTATGAGAAGACTAAATATTTATAATCAGACACTGAATGAGACTTTTCCCAAACATTTTGCAGCATTGTAAGTTGCTCAAGTACTTACAATCTCCATTTGAAAAACAGACAGATAGAGAACATTAAATCAAACTATGACAAGAAGAAAAGACAATGGCAGCAGTAGCATGTAGGCTCTGATTCCAGGCTGATGATTTTCCTCTATATGTATATGTTCTAGTTTATTATAAGTGATTTATTATAAAAAAATAGATCTTTAATGAAGCAGTATATACCTGTATTTGCAAAAGAGAAAGTAATTTAATTATAATTTATAATATGACATAAATTACACAAATTGTTAAAGGTCTAAACAATTATTTTAAAGACTTCTGATTTGCAAATTTCATATTAGATGGTATTTAAGATGAGACATGCAAGTACACAGTGCCCTCTAGTGCTTATTCTCTTTTTCAGGGTAGTGCTTTACTTGGTATATTGAGATATATTTGTACGCCATTGTCACATTTTAAGCCTAAAAATGCCACTTCTCAGCATAAGGTAGAAACCATGTCTGCTAATTAAGCTCACACTGTTAGTGTTGTTTCTCTTTACACAGCATTTGCAGTGACTCCTATGAAAGGCATCAGTTCTCTGGGGCCACAGGAGCCCAGCTGAAAGGCACGGTGGTGCTTTTCTACTGCCCCAGGTGGAATCCAGGCTGCCATTCAAGTCAAGCAGCACACTGCAGTTAACCACTTTTAATTAAAATTACCTCCTCCTTGCTGTTATGTGCCTATTTTCTCTAGTTATGTAGGCAATCTGTTACGGCACGCTCATTCCACATGGCATGCTGATACCTATACATTTCGTGGGTTTTAAGATATCAGGTTTTTTTGAATACGTGATGACACCTATAAAGTAAGTTTTATGACTAAAAACCAATACAATAAAATAGATATTTTGATTCCGCATTCCTTTTTGAAAATGAAGTGTTACCTAACGTTATTGAACCATTGACTTGAAAGGAGCTAATTTCTCTAAAGCCTAATAATCATTGGATTCCACTTCACATTTTTATTAAAAATTTTCATAGCTTGTTTTAATTATCCTTATGTCATGCATCGGAATCATGCATGCAGAGCGTCTTTGTCATCATTCATTCTTATAAGATATTTGGAATTGAACTGTGCCATAAAATTTCTGATTTAAAGGCATTTATTAATAAATATTAATTCTGATCACTCTTTATGATCAGGACAACTGTTGATTCATAGCTTTCTACAAATCTGTTTCCTATTTACAATACTAAATTATACTGCCAAAGTTTTAAAAAACTTTTTTCTTAAACAAGCTACCACTGTATTGATGTACTCTAGTAGAGATGCTGCTTTTGTGATGTTGTGTTTCACTTTGTAATCCCATCTGCTGCTTAGGCCAGATATGCATTTTCTGGATGCAATCTGTTGGTTTCCAATGGTTTACTACATGGTGGGCTCTATCGACAAGTAGGTGAAATAACCGTTAGAAAACTTAACATTGTAGTGCTCAGTGGTCTCGTGTGTATCGTGATTGCATGCTCAAGTTTGGTGTCGTACTCGAAGATGATTTTTTGCATGCATAGTTTGTGTCAGTGTGCAATACTTTTGGACTTCAAATTTCTGGCTACTAAAGAAATCATTAGTGAAAAATATCTCATTTGTAGTTTACACAACCACTGGTAATACTATCAAAAGCTTTAATTAATAATATGTCTTTGAGGGTTAGTAGCCAGGGAGTGCAGGTTAGCTTCAAAACAGAGGATTAAAATAACACATATTTAGGTGCATTAATACAATTCTAGAAACTGCCAGATTATAGCTCTGATTCTAGTGCCATCCTGTTCTCAGTTATTTGTTGGCATGAAAATATTGACTAAGGTTTTGTAAAGATGCCTACAGGATGCAGAAAGTACTACTAATAATGATAATGGCAGTTTAAAACGTGCCTAACAGGCTTCGCTTTCCGCTACTTAAAATATCTCCTACACTTAGATTTCTGTTCTAACCTCTTCTAATACATAATTGCAAATATAGGTTTAGTACCTTTAATGTGAAAATCAGACAGAAACAAGAGAAGATGGGCTCATTAGCTGTTTAGTAAGCTCCTATGTCCAGAGTATCAATTCAAACATAAAAGTTTACTACATCTAATACTGGGTTGGGAGTCCACGGTGGAAATCAAGGAAGTTTTGCCCTGCTCTGAGTTACTGGAATCCAGCTTTTCAATGCAAATTCTGGATACTGAATGCATTTCATTCTGGATTTGGTACCATATGGGTTTTAAAAACACTCACCTTGGTAATATCATAGCCATTGAGAGATTTGCAATGACTCTATAAAAATATTTTTCGCTTTCTAGATTAACACTCTCTCATCCAAAAAAGGTATCTTAGCTAACAAATATTTACGAATCTCTCTCAATTCCACAACACTTATAAAAAGAATTTATACTGGCAGAATAATTGAATTGGCTCAAAGCATCACGAATAATTAATAACCCAATGTTGTGAACCTGTTTTTACTAGAAAGGAAAATTAAGTTTCATTAAAATTTATTTCTTTATTTTTCAAAAAGGAAAGTGCCATTTCCTTCCTAAAGTGATGATTTTTCAATTTCCCAGATGATTTTTCCACACCAATTTTAGAATTAAATGCATAAAAATGAAGTGCTTTGAAGCAAGTATTAAAACAGAATTCCAGTTTTACATAAGCGTGTGGATCATTTTGGGCAATGCAGTTACTTTAACCTCAGGTGCAACAACATAAATTAGAACTGACCATCATATTCCCGAAATGTTTTTCAGTGTCTGTTTGTATAAATAACAAGACCTTTAAAAAATGAAGTTCGTATTTTTTTTCCAATGTTTCTGAATATCTTAAATTATGCAGAAACATGTTTATTAACACTCTGAAAGGGAAATATAATTGATATATGGGGAAAAAACAACCCAAAACATTTTAAAGCTTTTTTTTTTCTCCTCAGAAATAATACCTGCAATGAGGTAAATAGGTTGTTGTAGCACCAGAACGTACAGCCTACTCACGTAATTCTTAAATTCTTATAATAAGTTAAAACAAATTTATCTTTTGCGTGAAGGGAGAGGGATCTTGGAAAGGGGCCCCCTGATACTCATTCTGTGGGACATCAAGAATTTTTAATATTATATATGTTCATTGAAACAATATACTTAACATAGGTTACACAGGAAATTGTGGTATGTATATAGAGATGTTAAAATAGAGGGAATCAGAAATTCAATGTATAATTTACCAATTCCAGACAACCACAATGTTTGAGAGTTCCATATTTAAGTTGCTTGCTTGTGTCTTTCTCCCTCTTTCTCTTTACAAAAGCCTAGATGACTTATTAAGATGTGGGGTCACCTTTGCAGCTAACATGGTGGTGGTGGACAAAGAAAGTACAATGAGCGCTGAGGAAGAATACATGGCAGATGCCAAGACTATAGTGAATGTCCAAACACTTTTCAGGTAAGAGACTTTTACAATCTCTCACACCTTTATTAATTATGAAATATTTAACTCTGTCTTTTATTCATATTGTTTATATCTTATAATAATATTTTTATTATAATAATATTTACAAAACTTTTATATATATTATTTTCCTTTATGCAAAGTAAGCTTTCACTAACATGCACTTAAATTTTATGTGGGTAAGCCTCCTCTTGCTGTCCTGTGCTTAGTGATAAACTCAGCTTCTTGACATACCAAGGTATTTGCCTGAAATCTCAACTGAAATTCGGTACATCCCAAAAAACTGAATGACAATTTCAAAAGTCATCTTGTCAGGTTCAGGGGTGGGGAAGCAGGGACAGAATATTCTAGGACCCTAAGATCTAGGACCCAAGAGAAATGGAGGAAGAAATGGAGGGATGCTTCAGTGCAGCAGTATTGCAATGCAGTACTAAGCCAAGTATGAAAAGCAGATCCTTCTGAAGTTGAAACTATGACTTTAGCAAGGTATGCTAACATATTAGTAGTAAGTGTTTACATCTGGAATTTTTAATTTTGAACGAGAATTAGGTAAATAGGTTAAACAAGCTGAGGTCTCCTAATTTAATTTATTCTCACTGAAGTCTTACTTAGTGTTAAATGTCTTGATTCAATAAGTACTGAATGATATATGCTACAGTAAACTCTGAAAAAGTTCCTAGTTACTTACGAAGAAAAAACAAAATAAAAAACACACACACACACACACAAAATGCACTACAAGCTAAGCACAAAATGCCTCCTGAATTTGAGACCTACTTCCTGTGGTTCATTCTAATCACATGTGGGCAAGGATGACTGAAGGATTAGTCCTTTGCTATAGTTCAATATCATTCCATATCACTACCCTTTTCTGTGTCAAAGCCTCTAGACTTAAACAGAAATGCATAGTGAGTCTTTCGAATCTGACAGTTTACATAAAATATAAGCTCATGGAAACAAAACAATTTCAATATAGATTTTTTTAATGCAGTCGCCTGTGACGATGCAGTTAAATGCAGCTTGCGTTACGGCATGTACTGAAAAGAAAAACAGTATTACCTAAGAAACCTTTATTCTGTCCTTTTTTTAAAAAAAATTGGACTTTTGAATATGCACCTTATGCAGAGATGTATGTGTATTTTCATAATTACATTAATTTTATAATCATTTAACTTAATGTATGTGTCATTAAAGTGTACTCGTAACCTTGGTGCACTAGGCTATCTCACTGAGGCTTTTGCATAGATCATATTTTCCAATATTTTCCAGTATAAAATGGAAGACCTGAGTAATACAAAAAAAAAAGTGAAATATCATTTGTGTTTTACCTTGTTAAAAACAAAGAATCAAAAAGAGCAGCAGTGCTACACAATACATACCATAAGATATGTATACAATTACAACGGCTATCTAATCATTCACTTGTCCTGCACTATGCTTACACTAGATGGCAGATTTAACTCATATATAAAATATATTTCTGGTTCTGGATAATTTTAGGTTATATGATCCCTTTTACAAATGTTAAAGAAATTAAGATAAATATCTTGCTTTCTGACTTAACACTGTCTTTTCAGAAAACTTTGTAAACTTTCACAAGTATTGTGATTCATATTTTTTTAATTTTTTCCACTTTACTAAAACACCCTATGTTTACTGAATTTGAATATAACCTCAAAGTTATATAATAACTAAATAACTAAATTAGAAATAAGTAAATTTCAGGGAAAGGTATGAGGTAACATGAGGTTACCTGTTCTACAGAACAAACTGCATTCATTGCATCAAGTAAATAGCCTGGTAAGCATACTTTAAGAATATTTTTAAAGGTTTTTCATTATTTAACAAGAGTTATTAATGTAAAAAAATTAATAAGAAGTCATAAGCTGTTGCGTTAAAGATTGAAAACCACCAAGATTTTGCTGAGACATGCTCTTCCCTTATAGCATTACTGAAAAAAATGACACCTAAGGCACACTAAGTAGAATGATTCCGAAGACAGAGGCTAATCTGCTTTATTGATTTGATCGACTCAGATCAATTTGCCTCCCTGAGGCTGCAGTTGTGTCTGAAAAGATGAAGCAAACGTGTTGCGATACTGATCAGCCTCCTAGACTGCCAGTACTAATAAACATTTCTGACATTATCCCTGGATTCACGTAAATCAATAATCTCACTTTGCTGAGAGTTGTTCCTACCAGCCTGCAATTAGAAGAGGGATGCACCATTTAAAACATGACTACGTTATTAGTCATTAAACATTTCCTTTAAGGCTATAAATTGCCACGTATCAGTTAAAATAGCAATTCAGCATCAAGTCATGTCTTCTTTCCCTCTAATTAGGGCTTTCTCCTCCCCATCCACTCCTTATTTAGCAGAATGGGATAGAAAACAGGGACATGGGCATGGAAACAGTCTGCCCTGGTATGGAAAGCCTGCAGGCAGGGTGCCTTACACCAAGGCAAGAGGCCATCGAGCCTTATGTAGAGTCATCTCCCCTAATGCTTCTAGAATGCACTCAAGTAAAGTAGGAATTTTACTGATGCTTATTTTGAAACTGATTTCCTTATAGAAATCTGTTTGCGTAGCCTAAACCCAGCTTTAACTGTAACCTAATAACCTAAAATTTCTCTGTAAGTTACGTCCATTTTATCACTAGATCAACTAGAAACTCCCAACCAGCAAAAGTTTAATTAATTTTATACTTTAAGAAACAGAACTAGTGCAGAAGAAAACATAATTTAAAAGATGAAATTCCTTTCTTTTCCTCAGAACTTTAACAAGTTTCTTGAGCTACCTAACAGGTAGAAGTCCATGCTTACAGTGTGTAACAACATCAGCACTTTACAGATTTTAGTATAACTCAGCATACAAGTGACGAGATAACCATAGTTATGAGAGGCACCTGTGGTATCATGTATTTAACCTATGCATGTAGAACCCAAGGTGCTTAATCTGTAGCAGGTCATAAGCAGATCTGGCATAACAGCACTGCAACTCCCACAGTTTGTATCAAAGTCTGAATAAGAGAGTTGGGCAGCACAGAAACCTGGGGTGTACCACAATGCTTTTTAAACTATAGTGCACACAAATGGTCATTTCTAATTATTCAAATTCTCACCAAGTTTAACTCCATTTTTCCTTATATGATCACATTTAATATCTGGTTATTCAGAAAGATGATAACCTCTAGCATTTCTACCATATTATCATAGACTGTTCAGAACATGTTTGAGGTCCAGTTATCATTACAAGCCAAGCGACCTCCATCCTTGGAGAGTTTCAAGGCCCAATGGGATAAAACCCTGAAGCAACTTGGTCTGAACTCACAGCTTACCCTGCTTTGAGAAGGGCCTTTCACTAGAGATCTCCTAGCTTCTTTCCAACCTGATTTATCCCATGCGTTTTCCTGTAAACAGCATCAGCTTTGAATTCATTAGATTCTATAATAATCTCAATCATGTTTGCAAATCTTTGCTAATTAGACCAGCTGTTCATATTCACCCACCACTAACAGCCATTTGTTTTAGTTTTAACCAAGAACCTTCCAAACTGAATCATTTGGGAGAAAATGCTTTATAATGCTGAATCACTGGCACTAAGGACTAGGACAAGTCAGGCAGTGGTTGCCATTTAGAACTTGCTGATTCAGAAGGCACTTTCAAGACATGCACAGTTCTCCAAGCTGCAATCAGTAGCACAAACATATTGGCTTTTTTCCTTGTGACAGCACCTAACGAGAGTCTCTTCATTAGTGTCCTCCAGTCATTTTATCATGATGTAGACAGTATTTCCTAGCTTTGTGTAGTGAAGAGGAAAAAAAGCATGACAGTCATTCTGGAAAGATCTGATATAAAAAGGGACTTACATGATTGCAAAAAATGCCACCTTCTTCTGTGAGGAGGAAAAAAATGCAGCAAATCTTATCAAAATAGTTACTGGTTGCACTAATTTGAGAACTGTACACCTCTGACTTGAAAGACTCAATCTGTTTGTCTGCTCCCTTTAAATTTTATAAAGGAAGAATGACAGTTGATATTGATGGTGAAGATTGGCCAATGTAAGAGGTAAAGCAAATTTTTAAATAAGGAATTGATGAATCCAGTTGCCCTCAATTATAGAGAGGAGAAGACAGATCATGGGAAATGTTCAGCATTAATTCCCAAATGAAAATCAGCTGCTTAGAAGGAGGCTTCCTTTGGGCAACCAGGAATGTTAGAACTGAAAATTAGTAATCACCTTCAACATATGTGTACAGCAATCCATATCTCCAGTGTAAAGCATTACTAGGACTTGATCTTGCTTCCCAGTATAATTTTTCGAAGTAAGTGAATACAGACTGGGCCTTAGCAGTTAAGTTTTGTGCCTTTCTTGGCAAATATTCCTTTACATTGAATACACTAGGCATAATCTAGGCTTTTATATAAAACCTATTATGCAACCCAAGGTATGGAACCTTTCTTTCTACCTGGTTTTAGAAAAATACCAAAAGCTATTTCAGGATTTTAAGACATTTTCATGTGTCCAAACTGATAATGTATATTCTAATGCTTATTTACTAAGTCTGTTTTCATAACATATTCATAATTTCTACAAAGGTCCTCTGTATTCATGCAAATTGCAGACTGTTCCAAAAAGATCAGAACATTTTAGAACTGATAAAAGAAGGATTTCTTCCAATGAAACAGCTACAGAAGCTAAAAATGCTTTAAAGAAGGGAACATCTTGATTCTAAGATGAATTTTCAACACTAAAAAGCCAAAACATCTGGCCTATGGGTTTAGGCAAGGTATAAATAAATACCGATTATTCAGATTAGTTATAATCATCACTCTACATTTTGTGCCATTCTCTTTATTCCAGTACATCTCTTTAAAAATAGAGAAAATATTAAATGGAAAGTTTTGTCTCACTTCTATATACTACCTTCTGTGTCAAGGGAGGCAATGAGGAGGATGGTGCTGGCCTCTTTTCAGTGGTGGCCACTGACAGAACTAGAGGAAACGGCCAGAAACTGAAGCACCAAAAGTTCCACAGGAACTTAAGGAAAAATTTCTTCACACTGAGGGTGCCAGAGCACTGGAACAGGCTGCCCAGAGAGGTTGTGGAGTCTCCTTCTCTGGAGATCTTCAAATCCCGCTTGGACGCAGTCCTGTGCCACGTGCTCTAGGTGACCCTGCGTGTGCAGGGGGGTTGGACTAGATGATCTCTAGAGGTCCCTTCCAACCTTAAGCATTCTATGATTCTATGAAATGCCTTCCTGTATTCTTGAGCAAATAAAATGTCACACCTGGCACTTATATTTATGCTGTTGCTAAAGGTAGAGTACAGAGGAGCTCTAGTCAACTTTTGGAGATGCTCATTACTTGTTGGGATGCTGATTTTCCTTGAATACAACACTTGAGACAGTATATCTGCTTGCCTTTCTGCCCCAGAAAGTACACTCTGATGCCCTGTAAATACAAGACACTGCTTTATAGCTTCTGAATAGTGGAATTAAGATCAACATCATACAGAGACTGTTCAAGTAATATGCTTGCTTTATACTATGAAACCAGACAGTTACTAAAAACTAGTTGTGCTCTGCCAACGGAAAGTGACTAACTAACCTGATTTTGGAGGAAGCTAAGAGAATCTTCCACGATTTGCAAATACCCTAAGGCCATAAAACTGTCAGAAACTGCTAGCTTCCCCATAAAGGTGCTATACATATAACATCTGGAATCTAGAGTTTTATTTCAAATTATTTAGTATTTGGATAACCTAAATTAGAAAACTTTCTACTCATCAGAGTGCTGAGATCTGTGCATGTAGTGGGCAGGTTCTTTAATCTGCTTCATAAAAATCTGGGTAGTGCAGACAGACCTTTTTTTTCCCCCACTGCTTTTCTTTATTGTTATTATTGAAAGTCTAAGTTACTGCTAAGTAATGTATTTTGCAAACATTTTATATATGCAAATATTGCAAAATGAGAATACAAGTATTCAAATAAAATTTATGGTAACTAAAATACATAGTTCCTCCCAGCATTAAAATATTTATAAACTCAACATCTGAATATATGTTTTGTGCTGGTAATCTACAGAGAATGCTTTGTACAATTCTCTGCTATTATACCAGCATTTCATTGTGCCAAATGCCACAAGTCTTGGGCAGTTCATTAAAAACATAGACGTGAACAAAAACACACAGCATTACTGCAGAGCCATACAATTGTGCATTGTCATAATAAGGCCTATAACTGTAGCATTCTTTCAAAATACAGGTTGTTCTCAAGCCTAAGCATTATTACAGAACTAACTCACCCAGCCAATATGAGATTCATGCAGTTCAGAGCCAAAGACTGCTACTCGCTTGCTCTATCCAAACTGGAAAAGGTAAGGTGCTTTTTTTTTTTTTTTATAAATGTAATTATTCTACTCCCTCCCTGATTTTGTAGAAACTCTTCCAAAACAAATGGAAGCAGTGAAACCACATTAGTTGCAAGTAATACAGTAATTGTTTTGTTTTTCCCCTAAATTCTATCCTCATTAATGAATGAAATTTGATTTCTATATTTCTGCCACTTTACAAGATAAAAATCAATGTGCCAACTATTTTGATAATATAGGTGTACACACATTTTACTTAAGCAAATTTAAATATTTTTATATAACTATTTGAAGCTGATAATATTTTCCAAGAAACTGTCAGATCATTAATATGGAAAATATTTAACTGACTAAACACTTCTCATTTTAGAACTACTAAAATGGTAAGTCCTTCAATTTTAGTGAATGTGCTCTTTTTTTCAAACTGGGGAACAGGAAGGCTCTGAGGCTTAGGAATGTGTAGCTTAATAGCCAGATCAATGTGTGATCCCAGGCCTGTTCAAAATGCTATTGCTAAAACACTAGGTATAGTCCAGAGAAATTCTTTTCTCACAGATGATCTGACCTATCTACCTCTGGACTCCACAAAACTTTCAGCTTCTCCACTAGGATCTTTCAGGCCTTTTTCTGAGTTACTTTGTTAGAGAAAGACAGATGTTATCGAGAAGCCAGCATTCAAGGACAGAGATCTTTCACTTCACTCATTTGTTCTCCTGCTATCGAACTAGATTGTTAGATTCTCTCACATAGCTCCCACAATGTCCTTACCTCATATATAAAGATTGTAACTTCTACATCTTCATTTACTGTACAGTTGCAAAAGTTGTGGATATATGTTGGAAGCTGAACCGTTAAATAAGTTATCTAAATTATGGTGGGGTGAAACAAAGGTAGATAAATTATCTCCAAGGAAGAACATTTTCTTCATTGCCATTCAAGTTGCCTGCTGTTGATATTTCCCATTCATTTCATTTTAACATTTGCCGGGAACACTTCACAGGTGGTGCTGTAGTTCATTAGACTTTTCAGAACTCCCTCATGCAAAATGAAAAGCAATTAAAAACTTGAGTGAAAATTATCTGATGCAGTCAAATGTACAGTTGATTGTTATTTCGACATTAAGTGCCCTTTTTTTAAAAAATAAATAAATAAATAAAAAGACTACAAAAGCCAGAAAAGTTGTCTTCAGCTAACAGTCAAACACACATGGAAAATCAACTTTACAACCTAATGGGCTGCAGAATAAAGATATGCAAATCAGAGAAGTCCATCTGCTGTTACAGCTGCAAGATTCCTTCTTTTAAAAATAAAGCTGAACTTGACTGAGCATTGACATGAGAGAAAGGGAGAGAGGAGGGAAAAAAAAAAAAAAAAAGTAGTGAAGAAAGAGGGGAAAAAAAAAGAGCCTGAACTTCAAACATTTTCTCCATTTACCGTAAATGAGAAAAACATGAACTGACCACACCACCTTTCTTGAAAGAAAGGATTTTTAGTGTCCTGAATGAGCTTCACACTAGTTTTCTATGATCTTTATTTTGCATGTAAAATTTCTGTGCACCCTTTGAAGGATGGAAGCTCTATGCCTTTGAATTGTCATTTTAAAGTACATGCATTTATATCTTTTAAACAAACCAATACTGTGATTTTGTATCCTCTGCAGGAGTAAACACATATATATTAGGTGAGTGGCAATCTATCTCAGAGACCCAAGTGCATTTGTTGTGATGCACAGAAAGGCAGATTGATTTTCCCAGCTCCCATTTAGATTTGAAGTAGCAAACGGTTAGTGTGCGTTAATGGCATGTGGTATTTTGAAACAGTCAGAGCAGTATCTGAAAATAGGTATAACTTGAAATGGATCTCTGTTGATTTAGATCCACTACAGTTCTGACCAAAACTGTATAAACCATAACCCCACTGATTTGGCTGCTGAACTGACAGATCTTCAGAAAGCTCTTCCACATCAGCAACAGAAAATTAACCTGTTGTAGTCAAACAACGTAGAACAGAAGAGATTAAGAACAAACAGCTCAAAATATCATAAACTACTCTGGAAAGGAAATTACAGCATCGCAGGTTTACCACAACGAACAAGACAGTTCATGACTCCCCAGTACTCCCCTGTCTGTTACCTTTGTATCCTCCAGCACAACCCCCAGGTTAGGTCCCACTCCCTGTTCTTGAGTGTTCACTGTGGCTATTTTGCCTTGTTGGTTCACAGCAGTCAGAGCCTGCCATGACAGTTCCCATAGTACTGTCTAAATCGCGAGTATTTAAATCAAACAGGCCCTAGACCTCTTTAAACAACTGACAGACTGTCCAAACAAGGTTTTAGGTTAGTCTGGGGTTGTACTTCTCGTCACTGGTATGACAGTGTTAATTGTTTTAAAGGAATATGTATGTATTTATTTTTTAATAATAACAAGACAAAATCAAGGTAAATGAAGAAGCCTAAAAAGGATTTTATGTAAATATAAGGGGCTAAAAAATAGGCAAGTAAACAGAAAAGCTTATGAACTTGATCTTCTAGACAGAAATTCTCTAATATTCTCTTCTACGACATGTAAACCCAGGAGAAAAAAGTAATTAACTTGAAATTAAACGGTGTATGTAGGTGTGCTACGTGCTAAGAACTTCACAACTGCAAATGTACAGTGGCTACTATTTAAAAAAAAAAAAAAAAAAAAAAAGAACTCCGTAACCCTGAGCAAAGTCATAACCATAGGGAGATAACTGAGGAAAACAAATATCTCCATCTATAAACAGCTTTATCTCATATATTTGGAGTTCTACAGGACACACTCATGCCATATTCTTTATTCATGTTTCTGGAGATGACCTATGCTGTTGCTCTAACTAATTATAAACCCTTGCTGGTGACTGAATTCCAGGAAAAAATGTGAATTCAGGAATTCCAGTGTCAGGAAAAGAGCTGCTGGGCATCAAACTTAACGTGAAATAAAACTGTTGGGGCCATCCTGACATATTTCTGGCTTCTACAGCTACTGTATTCTCTGGGAAGCCAGTGAGACTGCAGGTAATAAAGCAGAAATTCAATACATTATGCCTTAGTAAAAACTGTATTTCTCACTAAACCCTTAAGCAAGAGGCAAGAAAAGTCAAACTCTAATAAAAAAGACAGAGAAGAAATGATCTAAGTTTAATATAAAAATAAGCCTACAATCTTCCATTTTAAAATAAGCCAAAGAAATGTCTTTATCTTCAGAATCTTGGATAAAAACCAAATTAGTCCCAAAATATTGCTTGCTTTTCCTCACCTTTCTTGGCACAATACCAGAATCTGCTGCAAATTATTCTAAACAGATGGAAAGATAAACATAATACCCTTAGTTACCTGATGTGAAAACAGTCACTTCACAGCCAGTTCCATATAAAATATTTTATAGCAGGAATTTAAAAGGATTTAATTTAATTGTAGAAGCAGTAAATATGCATGTAATTTTCATTTCAAAGGACTCGATGTGGAACAAATCATAAAACATTTGCCATAATGCACACTCCAAATTTTAATTTGTAATGAAAATGGGAGAATATCTCCAACTTTGTCCAATCACACTAAAAAGGAAAGGACTTAAGAGCTACAAAAGGAATTCATAAGCTCTTGTTTCTGTGACTAGTTACACCAATAAGCACAAGGATGTGCTCTTGTAAATAAGATATGGTTAGAGAGATGATGTTTTTAATAAGTAATATTGCTCTTCATACACTTCCTTTTTCAATTTCCTGGGTAAAATTACTCCTTACCTGCTTTGTTATTAGAAGTACGAAACACTCTAATAACACTCCTTTGTTGTTGTTATGGACAAAACCATCGGAGCTTGTGCAGGGGGGTATAAGTTTGTTTTTGTTATATGCATGTCTTCCTTGGAGGCAAGGGGATCAAAGACTCAGAAAAATGTCACAGAAAAAAAGGAGACTATAAAATACAGTATTGCTGTGCTCACACAGAAACAAAAAATAAACTAGGAAAAAGAAAAAAAATCAACATTGACATGCTTATTTTGCTGTGTGTTTTTATCTTTTTTGTTTGTTTGTTTTTTTGTGACATCCATTTCAACTCATCTAAAGCCCTAGAAACCAACGTGTACAAGGTCTATCCAAACCCAACAGGGGTTACAGAACACTGCAATTCAACAAAAACACATTTGGATGATGCGCTAGTTGGAGCACAGTGTTCATTTGCATGTAAATGTCTTTAATTTCAAGATTTGCAACATTTCTCTACCTTGTGAACACATCTTACTCTTCATGACATTTCTGAACTGAAAGTTTGATGCTTTCTCTCTTCTTGAGATAGCAGAAAAAAACACTTCTAACGTGCTTTAATCAAAACTATATTTTATAATATATATTACTTAATCAAATGTATATTATATCAAAATTATATTCACAGAAAAGGGATTTTATATTGTAATATCTTTTAAGGTATTATCAATTTGATGTTATTACTATAATCCTTTCTAAACCAGTACTAAAATTTCTCTTTTTTTTTTAATTCCTGAACAGAAAGAACGGGAAAAAGGGTCTAATCTGGCATTTATGTTTCGCCTGCCCTTTGCCGCTGGCAGGGTTTTCAGCATCAGTATGTTGGACACGCTGCTTTATCAGGTACCGGGAATTACAGTGTGCCTCATCTTGCCACAAACAGGCATTGCCACCACCTATTTGCTATTTGCACTCCGTTGGTATACGACCCTGTTGGTTCTCCTGTGCTTGTTTACTTGGATGTTTGGTGCATTAAAAGTTTTCAGTTCTACTTGAAAATTAATTCCCTGAAGGAAATTTCAAGGTACAGGGAAAAATTCCTGGAGCTAAGCTTTTCTCACAAACTCATTAATATGCAGAATAGGCAGAAAACGAAGATTAGCCAACAGATGCAAATCCCTTCACCGAATTCTACGTATTTTAGAAATAAATTTGCTCATGAAGCAGGTTTTTAAATGCAGAATGTCAATGCTAAATATTGCATTATTTAAAAACAGTAAATAAACCAGGATGCTTTTATAGAAGCAGTTTGTCATCATCATCTTCTCCCAGCACATAAATACCAAGTATTTTATATTTGTTCCTAGCCATGATCAATCATGCTTTGGTTTGACAGAGTGAAGCTATTCACTCCAGCTCCATAAAATCAAAAGACAGCACTTCTTATGCACAGAACTCTTAACTAACTGTAATTAACTATAATAAATTCACACTTAAGCCTAACACCTTACTTCTGTTGATTCATCGTTCTTAGTTTTCGTGCTGCTACAAAAATCCATTTTATGCCTTAGCCTCCAATTCCTGACTGACCGATTCATGCAAACACACAACAAAGAAAAAAACAAACCTTATTTGTTAGTAGATTCAACACTCCAATCTCTATTTCTTCAATGTTATTAACACACTTGAGAGATAGAGACTGATCGTAACTGTAAACCCACACATGTACAATTTCTTTGAAATCGTATTAATAGTTACCTGCTTGCCTGCTCATTAAAGCTTCTTTCTTTCTTCTCTCTCTCTTTAAAAATCCTGTAGTCATTTGTGAAAGATTATATGATCTCTATCACACGGCTTCTGCTGGGACTTGATACTACACCAGGATCTGGGTTTCTTTGTTCTGTAAGTTAAAAAATAAATAAATAAAATCAGATTAGTGGAAAGTACCAGAAAATAATCTGTAGCATTTGCAAAATGTCACTATTTTCCATGTGCACTGGATTCTCATATGAAAGCCCAAGAAGCCTGCTTCCTTTTTCATCAGAGAAGAAATTACGACAACTAAGTAGAAAACTTGTGAATTTTAACTGCTTCCAAAGGAAAAAAAAAAAAATCCCATCTCCACCCCAGGAAGAAAACCCAATGCATTCTTTAAGATGCAAAGAAAAATAGCAAAGAATGGAAAAACACGGAAAGAATAAATGATTTTATATGAAATAAAAATGACAGTTTGGCAACCAAGACAGTTGAACCTCTGGGACCCATGATTATCTATAAAGCTAGTCATGAAGCATTTGAGATGAATACAACTACACATACAGGATATAGGCAAGCATTCCCAAGTTCTTGCCCCCCTTTCCTCTCTGCAAATTCTGGTCTAAAGAACATGCAGGTCACAGCATTCAGGATAACCCTATGTTCTTCAGTCTTTCTATTACTTGTTTCTTACTACTGGTGCCTAATTCATTCCTTTAAGATTTATTTGGATACAAACACTGGATGAAAGATATGCAAGTTTTCATGTATTTATAAAACTATATAAGAAAATGATAGAAGCCATTTCATATGACACAACCTTTTGCACTACACTATCTCCAAGAAAGGAGAGAGCAAAGAAAAGGGACAGCGTCTACAGATTTAATAGAAATTTAAAATGTTTTTGTGGATTAATGGTGCAGTACTACAGTACACTAACTACCAGAAGATGTTTAATTTTCCAAATTTTTCAACAATAGGATAGTGAACAAGAAATGAAATTAAAGACTTCCTTCCGTTTTTTTTTTTTTTGTTCAGATGAAAATAACAGAGGAAGATCTGTGGATTAGAACATATGCCAGGCTGTATCAAAAACTGTGCTCTTCTACGGGAGACATTCCGATAGGAGTCTACAGGACGGAATCCCAAAAGCTTACAACATCTGAGGTATGTCAGTTTATTATACCTTTTATGTGGATTTGATTACACTTACAACATTCTTTGGTCCTCATAAGATTCTAAAGCACTTAATAAAAGACTACTGGGAATGCAGTGGGTCTCCCCATGATCCCTCTGGCTACATGAACACAGACACGTAAACACAGGGCTCTCATTCTTATTCAGACCCCCGGAATACCCAGACCCAGGCTACATCTTGATTTTTATTCTAGTTATTTATAGGGAACTGATGGATCAGTGAGGACAGCTTCAGCAGTAGTAAGAGAAGTAATAGTTGGCTCTAGTATATGAACTTGAGTATACAAACTAATACTGATATCTAACAACCAGGTCCTGTAGTAGGTATGTCACAGGAAGGCGGTGTTAGTATTTCAATATTCGTGTGATTTTCTAACTATAAATCAGCAACTAGAGAATAAATTAGTGTTACTGAAAATACTAGGGGATCTCTCTGAGTTTAGCTGCCAAACGGTGGTAGTTTTTGTATATGTGTATGTATATGTCTGTCATACATATGCATATTTCTCCCAACACAAATATAAGAGAATGATAAAACTGCATGATGATGATGATAACTTCTGCTAGAATCCATGCGCTAAGATTATACAACTGTAGCTTATACTTAACTGTCTGATAAAATACAGAGATTTTGAACTTCAAAATCTCTCATCCTAAATTGCTTAAGACAGATTTATAACATTCATGTTGTATTGTCACATTCATCTTCAACTATTCTTTATACTTTCCTCAGAAGTTTTGCTTTTTACCCTGAGTTTCCATCCTTCTCACACTTCTTTCTTACCATACAAAACTAAACACGTCCAACCCCTATTTTCTGAGGTTCTGTAAATGCTTTCAAAACCAACTATTGCCACTCAGACATTGGCTTGCAAGTAGTACATACTGTTTTTTTTACTCTGTATTTATTCCTTTATAAATGTCTTTTCTCTCTCTCTCTTTTGTAAGACTTCTGCAGGAGCTTTCATTTTCAAAACCAAAGTACAAAAATCCTGGCTACACCAGCTCAGATTCAACAGCCATGTATATTTGGTCACAAGTCATCAATTTCATAGCACTACCTATTTCTGAATTGTTAAAAAAAAAGATTAAACAAGAACCTAATACATTAAAAACACACACACAAAAATTAGAGTGCCTAAAATGGAGTGAAAAATTTTCAGTCCTTTGTAAACATTGGAAATTGGCTTCTTCAAAGTGCTTCTTCAATTTCTAAGTTTTCAGAAGTGGCTACTCAGCCGCTGACTCAATACTTTCCATTCAGCTGCTTTCTTGTAACCAGTAGTAATACACTCAGGTACATTCAAACTTAAAACATGATGCATATTAACCCCTTACCATCATTTAATATCATCTAGGATAACAGACCATTGTAACGCGACTATTTCAATCTGTTTATGTTACTTAGAACAGATTTTTGCATGCATACATTATACCAGTTTAGTAAGGTGCTATCCTATTACTGGTAATTCCCAAACTTGACAGATTCCTGTTTTATGTCTTAACTTTATTATAAAGTCAAACAAAACATTTGTGGTAAGAGCTGGAAGCAAAATTTCTCTTGAAAGTACTTTTTTCAGCCCAGTCATACTCTATACTAATGGAAATTCAAGAATTTAGGATTGATTTATTATTATTTCACTAGTTCATTTGCAGTAATGCCGTATCCTCTCAGATGTTCCACCTAAGATATCATTCTCTGTTCCATATGATTTTCCCACTACAAGCAGCCTTTGTTAAATACCACCTCCTTTCTAAAATGCTTATTTATGTGTGCTTACGTGCACAAGCACATCTAACATCCCACTCAGTTACATGGTCATACAATTCAAACCATATTCATTTCAGAAGAAAGCTTTCTTATTCCTTCTGTAATTTCTGTGCTTGCTGTTAAATCAGCCATGTTAAACCAACCATTTGCTCCTTTAGATTCACTTCTAAATTGTCTTGTTTTCTTTTTCCCCTTCCTTTGTCAGTCACGAGAAATGGCTTCACACGTAAGTATTTGTTTACCATCTGCCTGTTCCCAAGTTAAACTCAGGGAGTAAAATCCTTACTAGTTTTGAAAAACAGAATGGGTTTAATAAAGGCATATTGTGAGAGCATTTTCGATTAGCATCAAACTGTTACGTACATGGCAAAGCATTTATCTTTCAGTAGCACTTGCAGGAAAGGAAGCTTTGCAATAGACATCTGTTTGATTAAATTCAATATAAAATATCATTGTTCTTTACACAAACATCCTAAGTATCTGAAAGCTGATAGGATTTAGGTGGCGTGTCTCCAGGGAATTCCGAAAGTAAGAGATTGCCTTTAGTCTGCTGTAAATAAGAGCTAGTCAAGGCAAACAGAAAAAGAAAAAATAGTGTCTTCCTCATACTCCCAGACTTACTCATGTTGAGCTGTAAGTTACTGACAGGAACTCTACAGATGAGAGGGGATAGGAGGAAGAGACAGGTCTCAAAGAGAGGTTTTTTCCAACACTGATGAGGACAGCAGTATCTTTGCTTTCAGAAGCCTGCTTGGTTTTGAATGGGGAAAGGCCCCTTAGAACCTCAGAGATCAAGAAATCAGTATCTCTTTGGATTGCTTTGTTCACAGATCACTTCCAATATATTGTAAATTTTCTGCTCTTTGGATTCAGAAGTGAAGCTTGCTCGGTTAATATAAGTAAGCTTTCTTCTATACAATTTGTTTTTCAGACTCATTTCCCAACATACACTCAGCCTTCTGAAATTACTAATTTGTAACTTGCTAATATGACTGCATGGATACCACTGAGGACTCCACTACTTTTTATTATTTCAATATCAGTAAAAGAGCTACCTTGCAAAGATCATAATGATAATTCAGCATTATAAAACAGTATTTGGGAGAAAAAACTAAAAAAAAAATAGTTAATCTGACAGTGAAATTAAGATAACTATAAAAGTTGTCTCAAAATGTTTTCTATTTCATTTACTATGTGCTTATTGCGTATGTTACCACTGCATATGTAGCCCATTGACTTATTTCAGTACCTACTCAAGTGCTGAGTGCCATGAAGAAACTACTGCAGTAGCGGGTCAGATAATGGCCCTTCTGAGTGTTTTTGCTGTTGTTGCTACAATGCAATGCAACTTTGCCTGCATGTAGGAACCACAGGTCATCTCCTTGGCAAGGAGTGCCATAAGGCATGAGGGCTACGGCATCCCTCGCTAGGATCATACACGTAGGCATTAAATCAAGCTTAAATCAGGCATTCGGTAGTCAAAAGTACTTGGGAACTTGAGAAACAACAGTCACATTTCATCTGTGGTTCTAACCAGGGCACTCAATCTTGCATAGTCAAACTGTTACTTAATGAATCCACAGCATATTTCTAAAAAGCAGTTATATAATTTGAATTTCCCAAAATATGCAAAGATTGTTAGAATGCAGACAATTGATCCGGAATAGATCCCTGCATTTAGGAAATGCAGTAAAAGACAACTAGAGTCCTCATTTTCAGAATCAAAATGTAAGCAAGCATTGTGTAACTGATTTTGCAATCAAGAAATGCATTTACATTATGAGTATTGCACATAAAAATTCAAAGTGTGTAGCACAGGATGCCCCATTTCAGCAATGGTTAACACCAACAGCTGAATCCCCTCAGCTCCCCTGCAACCAAATCACATGTTCACCAACCCTATCACAAAGATGAGAATATCTTTTTCTATTTCCATTTTTCAAAGCCCTCATCCTTCCTGTCATTTTCCTTTCAAGTCTCAAATCTCTATCAGTGTGGAAGAATGGGAAGACACCAAAGAACAATTTAATTATCGCAGTAACCATCGTAACTCGACGTCCAGCGACCAGTCCGATCACCCCTTGTTACGACGGAAAAGCATGCAGTGGGCCCGCCTGCTCACCAGGAAGGTGCCCAGGCACTCCGGGAAAACAGCAGACAGGATAAGCCACCAGCGAATGAACCTCTACAGGAGGTCAGAAAGGCAGGAACTTGCCGAACTTGTGAAAAACAGAATGAAGCATCTGGGTCTTTCTCCAGCAGGATATGGTAGGACTGTTGTAACAACTTACTAAAACATTAGTATTATGCCAGGTATACTTATTTTTAACCTTTTGCAGGCTGACATTGCCACTACAAAAAACTGTAGTGTTTTTACGTTTTTTACTGACAAAAAACGATGGATTTTTTTTAATAAGTTCTATTGTGGTCCTCTCCTGTTTTCAGATGAAAAACACAGTACTGCATGTCGGTCACATTTATATTTTGCATGTGTTAGATATATAAGATGAATATATAAGCATTTCCCTCTCCCCCATTTTTTTTAAATTAAGTAAAAAAAATTGTCCCAAGACAGTCATTTTTTAAATGTGTTTCACTGGCTCTGTAGGTGCCGTTTGTATCCAATAATCCTTTTCCTAACAAAGCCAACGTTGTCATTGAGAAGTCCTGTGACATCTTTTTTTAATACAGACTTATTAGATCTGGATCAAGATCTACTTCATTTGCAATATATTATTGGAATAATAGTTAAATGATTAAAGGTAACAAGAAATACCAATTTCTGTTTATAGTTTTCACCTTTCAACCTGTCAGCAGGGGTGATAAGAGAAAAAAAAAAACATCACTTACTTGATACATATGGGAAATGGGGGGGATAAAGTATATTGCCCAATCTGTGAAAGCAGATAAGAATGCCGTGCAACTGGATGTACTCAGCACTAGCTGTGAGTTTGACTCTTCCACAGCTGGGGATGAAAATCCCTACTTCCCAAATACTAACATGACTAAGCTACGTGACAGACTAACTAAACTGAAATTACATTGCATTAAGAATTGCTACTAGCATTAAAAAAAAAAAAAAAAAAAAGCACATTTTTAGAGCATTCCTAAAGACTAAAGAAAATACATTGCATAAGCTATTATACCTTAAGAAATTCGTTTCACATTTCATGAGGCAAAGAAAAGGCAGGAAAAGCATAAATAAAAAACTGAAGCTCTGGCACATGCCAGAAGCATCTCCAAAACATCACAGTGCTGCATGTGAGGGTTGACCCTGCGTGTGCAGGGGGGTTGGACTAGATGATCTCTAGAGGTCCCTTCCAACCCCAAGCATTCTATGATTCTATGATTCTATGTGCCACTTCAAACTTGGGCTGTCACATTCTCTGTTGTGGCGCCTTCTCCCTGTCACCAGCAGCATCGTCCTCTCTAACTCCTCTAATGTGTCCTTATAATTCTGCTGTACATTGAAGGTGGGATAGAAACTTTAGTCTTTATGTTCCTTCGAACCCATCGGAATGTCTGGTGGAGCCAAGCACACACTTATAGAATAGATACTGAAGGCATCAAGTTGAAGAACATGTTTATACTGATGACAGAGAAATTTGCTCTGAAATGAGTGTAATGTAGAAGTATTTGTTCTGTAGAACTTATCTGCCTGCACTGATTCCAACATGAAGAGCAACATGAAGCAATAGAAACCTCTAGCGAGGTTTTAGAAAGCAAACACACACGAACACAGCACGCGGAGCTGACAGGCCATGCTTCTACCATGTACTGTAGCATATTATTATAGATCTAATACTGCTCTGAAAGTGGCACTGAGCCTGTTTTGTACTACCAGTGGCCAGGCATGGAAGGACTGCTTTCAGTGCAAGCCATCATCTTGCCACTCTTCAGTACTTAAGATGAATCCTTTCACTGTCATACAAGAATACAGTATATTACAACATTTTAAAATCTCAACTCAAAATATTCTATCACATTGATATGAATTAAAGCTTCCAATTCTTAGCTATTACTTAGAATCACAACCTCAAATCCTAGCTATCTTCATGCTTCCCCAGCACCACCATGTAGTAGATTTTATGAGCATCTTTTGCCTCTACTCTTTAACCTCAGTCTTCTGTAGAAACTCTAGGAAGCTGAGTAAAGTTTCAAAATATAAGCATTATATAAGTAATAGTTTTAAAATATGAACATTAATGCCAACACTGTTTTTCCCCGGATGACATATTAAACATTCAAAGGAACACTATCATGGAACAATATTGTATCTACGTAATTTATAAGGGCTGTTACATAAATTTGGAAGTATAGCTTTTTGGATCAAAAATGCATCTGAAGAGTGGTAAGGGGAACATATTCCAGATATATAACTTCCTTTCAGTTAATTTAATGTTAATTACCAAATAATAAAGTGAGGATAAATGCAGGTAAATTTGAGGTAACTTCCCATGATAAAGTGAAACAATTCTATGTTTAGTTGTGATAATGCTATTTGATATTTTAAGAACTGGCAACTCAAAAGATGCTATGTTAGATTGCTCCAATACAAGGACAGTTGAAAGAAAATCATGAAACTTATGACTAGTATCTGACGCTTTGTTCTAGACAACTCTATGAGCCAAAGACAATCTTTTATAAAAATAATTTTATAGCTCTGATACTCTGAACAATTGCTTTGCAAATACTCTAATTAATATGGTATCTGTTTTTTTGTCCTTTAGATGAAATGAATGACCATCAGAATACCCTCTCTTACATCCTGATCAATCCTTCTCCAGATACAAGATTAGAACTGAATGATATAGTGTAAGTTAAAGCAAGAAAAAGACCTGCAAAGTTGTTTGTTCATCCTTCTGCCTCATTTTTATTTTACTGAATATTGTCCTGCTAGAAGACCTACTCCTGCAAAACAATAAAGGCTAAGATAGAACTTCTGCTTAAACAGACATTAGATTTTACATATTGTTTTATATATCTACATGCACGCATCTACAGTGTATATGCACACACACACACACACACACACAAAAACATGCTTTCTCTAGCAATCCTCTGTCCTTTGTATTCTCTGGTTCTTCCTTTACTCCCTGTGTGTATCAAAAATAATCCAAGCATAAACAAGTCTGCTGGACAGCTTCACAGAATTAATGTTTTCATTAGATTCTTGCTTTTAATTTAGCTAGCCAGTCTTAAAAGAAAGATCCAACTGGAACTAGACTGAGCAGCTTCAAAACAGTGTTCAAAGTTTTCCATCAAATCTTTTCAACAACAGTACATCAGTAGAAAGTTTTGTCCTTACGCATACCAAGTCTTCTCATCAAAAGTTTTTTTTTTTTTTTTTGAAATAATATAGATACTTGATCCGACCTGATCCTTTGACTTACGTTCCAAATACTGCACCCAGCCGAAAAGACAGTTTCTGCAATACAGTGGGACAAGACACCAGGGAAGAAACACAACTTTGATGTGCAACTCATTGAAAAATTAAGAGACAGTTTTATACGCATATGCTGTTTTCAGTATCCATTTTGAATGATATATTTCATGAAAATTTGAGAGCCAGACAAAGTGATAATGGTAAGTGACCAGCTTTAGACAGATGGTGTCCTCAAACTCTGATTTTCTGAACTGACTTGTAATACAATGCAAGTATCAATACAGTAAACAAACTTTGTTACCTTAACAGAATTATGAAAACTATCACTGTTTAATCAATATGAACAAATTATTTCAGAAGAACAGGTTCAGAAGGATTTCGCGTAGAAACTACGTATATTTATCACAGTGACAACATAGCAGTGACTGACTAAGCTCCCGACCTATATCCCGAAGCCACCTGATGCCTGTAGAAAGACTACGCACAACTTGTAGTAGTAAATATTTTGTTAATACCTACATGTGCCAATGAGGCTTTGTGTGTCAAGAATCCAGCCTTTCAGATAATTTTCAAGCTTAGCTTGTCATCAATTTATATTAGAACAATCAAATAGCAGTCCCATTATAGCTTATATCTGGCACCAGGATGTTTGAGAAGACAGATTAGGTTGCACAACACAGCCTAGTCATACCATCGAGTTTCTAATTTGAGGCATCCACTGCAAAGGAAATTCAAGAGGATCCTATCTAGAAGGAGTTTCCATCATCTCATACAGGCATTTCAAGTTATAGCAGTGTTCAACTGCAACAGAGGCAGACCTTCCTTCTGTAGGGATATGGGAATTTCATAAAGGCAGCCCTTCAACATATGCAGAAACTCATAAACTACCATCTATGTGAAGCCACAAACAACAGTAGCTCAAGCCAAATATAACTCTCTTAACATGAACAATTTGTCAGTATAGATTTTGAAACAGAAGTGACAGCACCGCTCTAGCAAACATTATATACCAGAGATCCAAGATGCCACAACTGTTACTGAAATCTACATTCTCAGATGGTCAGATTAATGTAAACTTGGTAACCTCCTATGAAAATGTATGTATTGTGTTGAAAATTAATCTATTGCCCATTCCAGGAAATGAATAGAATAATAAGTTGTATGAAAAGGCAAAGGGGATTCAATTGTCAGCTTTTGCATTTAGCACCCAAGAAAGCATTTACTAGCAAGTCAAACATCTGAAGCTGCTACAAAGTCTGCAATCTACAGATACCGGAGTGCCACGAGTTTTGGTCAAACTTTCTACAGAATAAATATGCCTGTACATGGTCTTCCAAAACTCCTTTGCCATTTGTTACAGAATGAGGAAAGAGCACACGCGATAAGATAAAAACCCTACTGTTAAAGCAATCTATAGATACCTGTTCCAGTAAATTTGGCAGGCAGTCTACAGTTGCAAAATTGATTTCTTTGAACTCTCTTGATGTACAGATGAAGAGTCTAGAAACCACCTATTGTATTTTATTTAGAAAAGCAACTGCATGGCTGTTTTTATTTCAAAATCTAAAATGCCAAGTTGCCCAATGAACAATACGTGAATTTGACCATGCTTATCAGTATTATAAGTATGTTGAAACTAAATCCCATTCACTTTACTAATGTCAGCTATTGTTCTCTCCCTTCTTCCCAACTCTTTTAAAACACAACTAATTTTTTTTAAGTTAGAAATCCTAAAACCATAATTATAAAAATCCTCACAGTAGACTGAGGTCATCATGGTATGGCGATCAGAAGAGTAGGAGTTGAAGTTTTGAGAAGAAAAAAAGGTAGCTGGAAAGCACAGTTTCTCAGTAGTTTTTCCCTCCACATATTAAAGCAGTACGTGGTTTCAGAAAGGTTTCAAGGGTTTGCTTAGAGTCTGTTACTCAGTGCTCCCCCACCCACAAACTAGACATCTTTAGATATCTTAGACAGTTATTCACAGCTGAAGATGAAGTATTTCAAATACCATGTCTCCCTTTGGGACATGAAACAATTCAGATTAACTGCAGCCTGGAGTCTGAACAGCTAAAACAAATAAATGAAAAACCCCACAGTAAATGGAACAGAATTGCATACAAGACCTGGCAGAGCAACTGTCCCAGAAGAGACTGTGTAATGTGAAAAAGGACCCATTTTTAGTACCTTCAGTGAGAAAATTCTATTCCAGCTGAATTCTCAAAATAAATAAAAAATTCCCATTTGAGTTTTTAAAAAGCATTCTCTCCAAAATGACAGAGCCACCTTTGTTTCACACTGATGGCTTGTTCTGATAATCAGAAGCAGGTACTTCAGAAACACATCTACCCTTCAGCTGGCAAGCCAGACTGACTGCTTGCAGTGGGATCCACAGACTTGGTCTAGAGGTATCCATCTCGTGGTCCACGTAAACTGGGTAAGGTACCTACCCAGTCCGAGTTAAGGACTCTGTGGCAAGATGGATAGCTAGGATTCAATGCCTGGCATTGAACAACCTGCAGACCAGTAGAAAATAGCAGTCAGGTGAACCACCTCTTTGGATCCACCTCAAAGAATTGCTCAGCTACAGGGAACAGTAGCAGCTAACGTCACCTGATATCGCCCTTGCTTAATGAACTGTAAATCGCAAATTACACTCAGAAGATTTGCTTGAGCAAACAGGAAGACAACTGGAAACAGATGGCAGCCTTCTCTAAAATCAACAGAAGGCAATCTCTCTGAACAATGTAGAATGTCCAATTCTCTTCAGAATCTGCTGGAAGCTAAGTAAGGCAATAAAACTAAGTGCAGATCTTCTGAAGCAGCATCACTAATAACCCTTGAATAAACACTGTTCAAAATATATTGTCTTTGATGTCGTGAGCTCCCTTTCCATTGACATATCTTCACAGAGTCTCCCAACTAGCAGAACTTCAAACCTTCAAGAACCATCCTGAGGACGTACATTGACATTGAGACATTCCTTTGGAGGCCAGGAAAGAGGTTCCTTGAGAGTCAGACCACAGGTACTCTAATGTTCACCTGCTTTCTTCTGATCATGACAATGAGAAGCACAAGACATGGCTAGTCAGTTTGGATATTCTGGAATGGTTTTCTCCAGGCTCTGTGCAGGAAAGAACATGCTGAAGTTTGGGAGCCAGTGCACCCAAACAGCGGTTGGACAGAGGAGTTTTACCTGGTGATAGTTCACTTAGTGGATACAGAAACTAATGATCACTGACCTAAGCAGAAGATTTAATACTAAACTATTTGTCACGAATTGTCTGGCCAGGTAACCTATAATTATTTCTTTCAAAAATTAAATCGCTGATTAAATTTATATTTAATTGTATATATTTTTTCCTCCTAACCCACTTCCACCTATAAATTGACAACACCCTGCTTCTCTAACATGAGAAGAAATTTACTCCTGGGAGACGCAATCCCAGTGAATAAAGTGATAGCAGGTGATAATGACTTCCTTCATCAAACATGAGAGTTCTCCAGAAAAGGGAGATTTGCCTAAAAAAGTGTTATCTGGTCTGCGGTTAAAAAGCAAAACAAAGCACACAAAGGAAAATTTACATTTGAATGCACGTTGCCTGCTCAAGTATTTCACTCCAACTCCAGAACAAACATTCACTCAAATCAAAGGAGATTTTATATACAAAGTAGAAAACATTTTCAGAATCTGTAGCAGAATGACTTAGTGATGTTCTTGCATAATTTTGACTTTAAAACTAAAAGAACATTTATTTGCCAGCATACCTCTCATCTCCCACAATTAATTTCCTACTATAACTACTCTAATCATCTATAGTGCACAAGCATATTACTACACTAATATATTACTAAACATCTTTTTAAGTCTTTGTTTACTATTGCACCACTAAAATGTTGAAGAACAAATGAATAGAACATTTCAGCAGTGGAGATAGACTGAAATGATACAAAGTGCCAGCAGTAACAAACAATTCTGCAGTTTGTAGCCCGCTAGCATTGACCACAACCATTTTGTAATTTTGGAGCACTGACGCATGAGATTTTACTTCATTCAATTTCACTTGCTATCAGAAGGATTCAGTCACTCCAATCCGGAAATGGATTAATGAAAGCCTACCAAGCAACATTGTGTAGCAACATGAAATGTACAAAGTTACAGAACAATCCCTTTTCAAGACAGTGATATGACTGCAGAATTATAGTCAGACATGTATAAAACACTGTTGCATAAAATATTGTTGCATATAATTGATTTTATAAATTGGGAATGGCCCACTTCATTTGGAACAGACATGTATTTATGTTTAAAGGTTGCACTTAAGTCTTCATCCGCTGTTCCATTTGCTTGATGAAGAAGATGGGTTGCAGGGTAACAGGAAAAGAGTAATGAATTCATATTATGTTATTAGGGATGACCAAGACCTCACTGATGGGCACCTTGTGAATTTAACAGACAATATTAGTGGTGATCATGCCTAAGCATCCAAAATAAGAACGTTGCCAGTAACAGTAATTCATCACAGGGAAATTCCCACAACCTCTAGAGAAGCTTCAAAGTTTACAAATAAGAAGGGTTTTTTTTCCTTCATAAAGAAAAACAAACGTTAGGTTTCTACAAAATTTTCTATTGGTTCTATAAATGCTAGACTATATACTTTTGTAGCACTGTAAAATAGAATAAATACATTTCTTTGGATTTGTGTCTCCTTGGACAAAAAGTAAAGGGTCAAGATATTTATTTTAAGCTCCCTCTTTCCATAAGCTCATTCAGTAGTTTCTTTACATTTTCACTGGTGAAAACTTGAAAGTTTTCAATCTCTTTGTATTTGTCAAAAAGAGCTGTTTTTCTCCTGAGCAGCTCTTCCCTGTCTAATACAAATAAAGAAAATATGTTGAAAGGAATAAAGTGCATTCAGAAGATTCTTGTCTACTGGGAGCTTTTGTTATTGGCTAGATGAACTCACACGAAGGAGCATAGCCCAGGACTGTTTTTGCCACAAGAATGCCATTTGTCTCAAAACATGACATAGGTAAATGCATTTTCTCAATAAACGTATTTAATATATGTCAAGTCTATGACATCTATATCAGCCTCTTCAAGTTTCAGGTTTTAATTTTTATCTACAGGATACTCAGTGAGTTGAGCTTGG